TCACAACGAATTAAACCTGCGAGATTACGGCGGCACACGACCCAAACAACTTTCATCCAAGGTCGTCCAAGATTTGGAAAACGTGAGGACTGGACTCAACAATATCACCGCCGGAGACGATCAAAGAAACGTCGGACGACATCGAAAATATATTGCGCACGTACGTGGACGAACCGTTGCCCGGGTTTGAATTTCCCCTCAGGGAACTGCGAGGGCTAGACAAGGCCTTGCAAACCATTCGTGGATCGCTCGTGGACAACATGGCCAAACTGAAAGAACACTACGATCATATCGCTTATGAGACAACCAAACTCAAACAAGCGGATGATATGGACGGCGACATCATCCGACGTCGGATCGAGGGAATGCTACGTCACTTGCGCGACGAACGATCGACCACGATAAGAAGAGGCATCATACAACCGAGACAGGCTTCAATCCCAGATCAGTCACGTGCGAGAAACCATCGACTGAGTGTTGAACGTGGACACCACGTTGGCCGACAGGATCCGAACGTTGTCCCGGGAACAAGGGATCACCATCGCCAGCGTTCTGACGGCTTTGGGCTTCATCGTTCGACCCTGGTCTTCCCGCTGACAGGTGGCAGTGGAGGCGGCGGAGGTATGACGTTAAGCGACGTAAGAGACTGGATTAAAAAAACATTTGAAATCGCTCGGGGAAGCCTTGGGGAGGCTGGCGGGCAGGGCTATCCAGCCGTCAATGTCATTGACGGCGTGGACACATCTCTCGTGGCAGCTGGCATGGGATTGGGTATAGCAGGTGTCGGCTTATTATCCACCATCGTGGCCGCACCCATCGTCCTATGGATGGAAATAGCCGCTCAAGTATCTGGGTTGGTGGGAGTAACCCTGAAATTCATTTCGCGTCGTCTGCACCAGAAGGCCTTAAAACACGATGAGATCAGGGTTCTGGCCGAAGCCAAGCTAAACACGATCGACGATCACATTTCCACCACGATCACCGATAGCAAAATCTCCGAGGAAGAGTTTTGTTTGGTGATGTCGGAAATCGCGAAATACCACCGCATGAAGGAAGCGATTCGAACCAAGACTCGGAAAACCGCTGGCATCTGGGAAGACGAGAAAAAAACCTCATAGAACAGGGTCGACAACAAATCATTCAAACCTTCCTGACCCAGAACAAAGATATCATAAAAGATTCACGTTAAACTGCTTTGTAGATGTGAACATAACCTAAAAAATGTCCTGATTGACTAATGTGTTGCTTACCCCTTCAATTCCTGTCCGCAGTTTTTATACGTACAAACAATAGTAGCGGGCTCACCTAAAGACTGCGTTTGAACTTTGCGATACACACATTTGCGCTGATGTGCTATTTCAACCAGCCGTTTGGGGGTGATATGATGCATCGCTAAATGGTGACGAATAAGTACATCATCATTGTTTAAAAGCAGTTTGCATTTCAACGTGATGAGCCATTGTAATTCGTCATCAGTAGACCCTACTTGATCTAAAATGGACTGCGTTTTGGTGGGGTCAAACCATTCACGCAATAGCCTTTCAACGGGAATCAATGGGATATTCCACAAGATGATATTCCTCTATCATCACTCATATTTAATAGGGGCGCCACATCAAACGATGCCTCGCGCTACACCCTCGCCATTTGTAAGGGGGTTGGGAGGCTTAAGTCCCATAAATAAGCCTTTAAGCCGCATGTGATGCAGAACCCCCATTGTACTACTACTCATAAACATGAACCCTTTCCAAAACATTAAAATGTGTAAAATGCCAAACCTATGCTATGCACCTAAATATTTACAACTCTTGGCTACTTCTAAATAATTGTCATTTATTGTCCATTTCTCAAACTTGGATCATTTTCCGCCATTCTTAAAAACACTATCTTAGTCTTATCTCTATTTATATTTAACTTAAACTTGACACAATAATCTTCTAAAACAGTAATTTGAGGCTGTATGCCTTTAACAGTGCTAGAAAACATGATCATATCATCGGCAAACAATAGGAGGAATAATATAACAATGTCAGGATGTAGTTGTATACCATCAATACAATGCTGATGAACAGCGGTGGCTAGTTCATTTATAAATAATGAAAACAAGAATGGGCGCAGAATACACCCTTGGCGAACACCAATATTACAATCAAAAGATGCTGACAAAACCCCTTACTTCTAATACATCCTTTAACATTGTTATATATGCTTAGTAACATGTTCCTCATTTTATTACTCAAACCATGTGCTATTAAAAACATCGATAATGTATTTCTTTTAACAGAATCAAAGGCTTTAGAAATATAAATAAAAAGGACATAAAACTTTGAACCTTTACAAGAAAGATATCGCTGTATGAAACTGTTTAGAATACATACATTGTGAATGGTTGAATAGCCTTCTCTAAAACCTGCCTGAGCTTCATTAATCTCATTTGTAGCATTAGACCAAAATATTAATCTTCTGTTAATGACATACAGAAAAAAATGACAAAACACTCTAAGTAAAGTAATTCCTCGATAATGCTCTGGATTATTAGGATCTCCACTCTTATACCAAGGAATAATTATACCAACTTCCTACCCTTTGGGAAAATAAGCTTTTTCAAACATTACATTAAATAAAACATAGATATGGCATACGAATATCCTTAGCACATTTAAAGAAATCTGGAATAAGATTGTCTATTCCTGCAGATTTATCCGGTTTCAAATGCTGTATACCTTCTAGTATCTCTGTTTCCGTAATATGTGCATCTAAATATCATTGTTAAGATAAGACTAATGTGTTAAGTACTTGCTTATCACGAATATTAGATAAGTATATCTCCCCTAAAGTCTAGTTCTGATGTCATTCGTACTTGTTCTGTTGTCATATATTCCTTGTTGAACAGTCCCTTGAAGCGGGATACAAATTTTACTCTAGCCAACAGAGTTGCCGTTTTTTCCCATGCCATGATATGGGATATACTCCAAGAACTTGTCATTAGACATACTCTGCAGAATCAGGTTTTCAATGAGTAATGTTTCAGTAGTACATATTCGTCCGAACTCTTCTTAACCTATCCGGAAGCCATACCAACATGGCTATTTAAAGCAAGCATGGATTCTCTCATCAGTCCATTATCCAATTGAGGGATGCCACGGTTCCCAAAGTTTTCGAACAGACAGTCGTCACTCCTGTCATTAAAAAGGGCAATTTAAATCCGGGTGAGTTGAATAAACTACCGGCCAGTATCTAATCTTTCTCTCATTTTAAAATGTTTGGAGAAAATTGTTTGACCAAGGCTTGGAAGAACACCTACTCAATAACAACCTGCTTGAACCCTTCCAGAGTGCTTACAAATCAAAACACAGCACAGAGACTGCACATATTCATGTCCATAACAACGTCATGAGGGCAATGGACAAGCAGAATGTCACCCTGCTGGTCCTTCCTGATTTATCGTCAGCCTTCGACACCCTAGACCACACCCTACTGTTTTCACACTTGGAGGAATGACTCAGTGTTACAGGAAAGGCTCTTCCTTGGATCAAATCCTATCTGTCTGCCAGAACAGGTAGTCAAGACTGGTGAGGTTACCTCACTACCGACAGCAGTTAACGTTGGTGTTCCGCAGGGTTCAGTTCTGGGCTTTTGCTTTTCAGCATATATATCCTTCTAACAGGTGATATAATCATGAAACACAGTTTGATGTTTGATTTCTATGCTGACAACAATCAGATCTACATATCGATAAAGACATCTGAACCCATCTACTGGAATCAGTCAAATTGAAGCTTGTGTTAGCAAGGTTAGATCATGGATGATTGTGAATTTTCTCAAATTAAATGACATTAAAACGGAATTTCTACTACTTGGTTCTTGGTACTTTTGAAAGTGCCTGCAGGTCTGTTGCTTAACATTGGATACAGCAATGTTGGAACCACTCCATATGCAAGAAATCTTGGAGTCATATATAAATCCAGCATGTCCCTTAAAAAAGTCTAGAACTTAGGCGATATTTGCTTCTTCCACATTCACAACATTAGTAAAATCCGCCATCGTCTTGACCATGAAACGACAAAACTTCTTATGCAGACTCTCATCACATCACGACTGGATTATTGTAACTCGCTTTTCTTCCACATTACTTTATCCCTGATCACAAAGTTACAGCGAGTCCAGAATGCAACAGCAAGGGTTGCAACGCGCCCGCCGCAAACTGAGCATACAGCACCTATCCTGAATGCCCTCCAATGGCTGCCCGTGAATTTCATAATTCAGTACAAGACATTTCTTCTAGCCCAAAACTGTGTCTATAATCAATCATCGTGTCACTATCTCAGAAGCCTTGACAGAATATACCAACCAGTCCGTTGTGTCGACCATCTTCGCCTATCAGTCCTATTCATGAAATCATCAACGGGTGATGGAGCTTTCTCTGCCTCAGCTCCTCTACTGTGGAACGATCCACCTTCTGTCTCTTACAAACCTCATTTAAGACTTTTTTCAAGACAAACCTCTTCAAGCAAGCCTCTGACTAGCTATTCTGAATGACTTTTTCTTATATCTCCTGCACAAATTACCACTGAGCAACCTGTATGGATGGAGGAAGTTAGGCACTATAGAAATATGCAGTCAAATCCCTATTGTATTTGTCATTTTTTTATAGAGCGTAATCGGTTCAAAACCCGCGAGGGGTGGGGGGAAGGTTGACATTTTGGGTACCTGGTCCTATCTTTAAAAAATATTCAAAGTATGAATTTGAAATGTTAGAACATTGGCAATTATCTTAACATCAATATGGTCCAAAAGCATTAATTTATCTTCATGTATAAAAAAAGTTACAAAGACTTTTATGACATGTTCGAATATGGGAACAATGGCATGAAAAAGGTTACATCAATCGAAATTACACAGACATGGAACGGTTTGGTAGTTGAGATCATAGTGCAGGCTTCAAATATATCACGAGGCAGCACTTAAACTTGCATTGTTTAAATATTGTTCCTCCACAGTATTGTGGTTTCCTACAAGGCGACCAACGGTGGATATGTTAAAGTCCGCAACAAAGAGACAAAGAACCTTGCGACCTTCTACTACAGTGGTGCATCACAGACCCGTACCTTTACTATGACCATTGACCTGGTGCCTCCCTATCACTGTACGGGTAGTTCTACCTGTGTTGGCAGCATGTTGACAGCTCCAAATGCTATCACAACAGTAGGTATTTGGCAATGTTACTTTTTATGCGAACACATATAATCGTACAGTGCATCTGTGAGGTGAGGTGAGGTGAAATTGGATTTAGCGTCGTGCTTGAGAATATTTCGCTCATATGACGACGTGCTTGCGTGTGTGTGTATGTGTATGTGCGGCTGCTTGTACTAGCCGAGACAGAAGCTGGTTTTATAGTGCTAGCATGTTGAGATACCACGCCGCAGTGAAGCATGAATAACCCACTCAGACACATTATACTGACTCCGAGCCGACAAGTCCTTGTTGCACCGATTAATGCCGAGCGCCAGGCAGGGACCAACAAGTACCATATTTTAACGTCTTTTGGTATGACGCGGTCGGGGATCGAACCCGCTACCTTCCGGTCTCCGGGGGGACGCTCTAACCACTACACCACAGAGGCGGTCACAGTGCATCTGTAAAAGCATAATCCATCATTGTTGCAGTCCACATTGAACCTCCGTTGGAGTGGCTGGTCAGATACTGATGCAGGTATCAACCACTTTGTGAGGGAAGTGTATGAACTTCACGCTGTTGGGGATGTACTCAGAGATAAACGTCGGATAGCCAGGATGTTTTTAGCAAGCTACAAGGTGAATAAGGTTTTTTTTACTTGTCATATTCGTTATTGTAAATAGGATGAAAGAATAGAAAAAGGAAACTTGATTTGGAGTATAGTAGAATATCATACGTGAGTGACTAATCTCGCAATTTCGTTAGTGTGAACATTTCACATCATTGACTTCTGACCCCACAGTATACCGCAGTATGATTTATCCTTGTCAGAACAGAACTGTTCTACGTCCTATTTCAGACCAGCGACAAGTTCAGAGTCTTCAAATCAGGGGTGTATTCTATAGTATTATCTGCCTACGACAAGGCTGGTAATTACAGAAGTGCTCGACGAATCATGGTGTATGATGGTACTTCAACTGTAACAGCTCAGGCTAATAAAAAACTACGTGTGATGACAGCAGCGTCAGCATCAGCGTGGCAAACGACCTCATCTGCAGTGACAGTAGACTGGACCAACAGATACATCAACACAGTCCACCACAACAACAAGTGGCTCCTGGGCGTGGCTTCTCATGGCAACATCAGTTCGGACTATGATGATAACGAGGGAAGCAGAGGTATAGGTGAAGTCAGAAATGTTCAAGGTATGTGGCATACAAGAAAACAATACATGTCAGCTGATATGTTCTGATGTAAAACAGAATCCTGCTGTGGCATAGACGTAAATAAGTGCAGCATTTCACTTCATAAAATGTGATACTTAATAAGTACCATATAAGATATTGTGATGTGGGATTGTTTCTAGGAATCACACGTTTCCGAACATCTTACAAAGTCGACCACCAAGGAGGGTCGTCCATCACCAGTCCACCAGATGATAACCTGTTCACCAGTCAAGGTCTGAATCAGTCACAGACCATAACACCCTCACTAGTGGACGGGGACACTGTACGCTTCTGGATACGAGCTTATGACATCGTGTTGAAAATGAAAGAAGAGAATGCAACAGTTCACATCGACACATCACCTCCAGTCATAGAGAACCTGTGGCTCTCTAGAAGCAGCTGTCTCAACATCAGTACACGTCTTGTAGAGGAACTTCATGATGTAATGTGAGAATGTATATAGTATTTTAGCCAATTCACAATTCGGTTTTTCATCTTCCTCTTTAAAAGTTGCAGCAAGATAAGACACACGAGTTTATGTTGAAGCTTTTGACATTGTGCAAAGTGAAACTTGTCAGAAATACAATGAGGTGCAATAAATTCATGTTCATGATCATTCCACTTTACCAATAATATCTGTATCTGATTTTAGAGTGGAGTTTGATGTGTACGATGAACACAGTGGAGTGGAAGAGATGGAATGGAGAATAGTAGAAAAAGAGGAAGACAAGGACATAGTGTTAGCTATCCATGACATCTCGATTCAAAGCCAACGTGTATGTCACTGTTTTTAGCTCGTGTCCAGAAGTTAATAGTAATATCAGTAACGAAAAGAATGTACCCTGCATATTAATATTAGTACTCTTATCCTTCTTATTTTGAACAACTGAACCTAAATAGGAAGTAATTACTATAATAACATCGTTTCATGCTGTAGAATTTTATGAATAATTCCAGACTCTAGATGACTGCAAGACCATGCATGATGCAAGGGATGGTAACTGTTATTGTACTCCAGCTGGCACATGTTATCATTCCAACTACCAAGTGAAACCAGCCCTGGCAGACATAAGGGACGTCAAGCTGTCTGAAGGAAAGGCTTACTGGTTTCAAGTCACAGCTACAAATTATGCTAAACTCCAAACTGAACAGGAAGTAAAGGTATAAATGATTAAATTCTTAAATGAACTCACCTCTCATGGAATTGTTTGCATATAACATCCCCCATGTGACAATGTTAAACTGACAATTATTAACCGACGCCCTTACTGGAGTATTGCCCGTGAGTTTGAGAGAGAAAGAGAAATGACATACATGGACTACATTATGGCACATTCACAAAGATAAACCAAAATTAATTATTAGGTAATAAATTAACTTCACTTGAAAGGTCATATTAGGTTTGAAACATGTTACTCTCGATTGCCTTTTCTGTGTAAATCATATGATTGCGTAATAACTGATGCAAGCATAATTGATTCAATTTGTCAAACACTTGGTATATTATGGCAATGGGACCTTATTTGTGTTTTCCATGTTGGGTTTCTTCGTCTTTGTAAAATTTAAAATTAATGTGATTTGCCCGTTGGCCATGCTCTAAAGATCTCTAAGAATGCATTCTGGGCTCTGTAAACATATCCTTAAATAGAAATGAACGACTGGTGAAACTGAAGGTTCACTGTTTAGATCCAAATGGATGCTAACCCCCTTCATCCAGGCGTTGTCCACGATGGTCAGCCTGGACAACCGGAAGTGGACTACCAGGACAATCTACAGCTCCACGCCCACTGGGAAGGATTCTTTGACAGAGAGAGTGCAATTGTCTTTTACCAGTACACTTTCGGACCAAGATGTTTACAGGGACACGTGTTTGACCTCAACAAAACCCAAAACGTTAGTCCTTTATTGTTCGATTGTAAACAGTGCAGCTCTGTTAATAACGTTAACATAGACATACTTCTTAGAAGCTTCGGAAAACCAAGTTTATTGTCATGACAGCATTTAAGTTTGTTTTCACATGTCATTTGTGAGCGTCTATGGCGAATAGTGCTGTCATATTCTCATCGCTCAAGGAAGTCAGCGAGACTGACCACCTGATCAAACAAGCATTAGCTGCTGCAGACTAATTGCTTCATTCCGACAACCTTAATGATTTGTAACATAGACATACAAAAACTTTCTTGGAAAATGTGAGAAGATTTCGTCCCTCAGAATATATACTCAGCAGCCCCCAAAAAGTCAGTACGAATTCAAAGTAAGATAGGCACTGTAATCAAACCATTAAAGAAATTGACATAATAAGCAGATCAAAAATGTTTTTTGTGTACAGTATCTTGACTCATCAATGAATACCTCAGCACAATTTCAAGACATTGCGTGAACGTTTGCAGTCCATTCAGACTCTTGACTTCATTATCTAGTGTGACCACCACGGTCGCCAATAACTGCAGCACAGCGCCTATGCATGGAGTGCACCAATCGATTGATGAAATCCATTGGCACCTGGAACCACACTCTGAGAAAAGCCTGGCGCAATAAATCGGCTGTGTTCAGCCTTGGTATGACATTATTCAGTCTGCTCTGAATTTCATCCCAAAGATGTTCGATTGGGTTTAAATCAGGACTAAGGGCTGACCACTGCATAATGTTGACACCGTTCTGCTGTAGGGAGTCCCGTGTAGCTCTGACAGTATGGGCCCGGGCGTTATCAGGCTGGTGACGTGCGAAATGTGGCATGACGTAGGGTCTGAGAGCTTTGTCGATTTAGCGCACCACTATGATGCCGCCTCCTCTCCCTGGACCAAGGTTCTGGAGCAACACAGAAAAGACTTTCTGGTTCAGGCCTACTCCATCCCATGCCATAATGCTTGCACCTCCCCATGAGTCTCATTCCTCAACAAATTGGTCTGAGTAAGGCTGGCCACGTCGTCGCCATATTCTTGTTCTGCCATCTGCAGTTGATACGCAGTACCGACTCTCATCTGTGAACAGAACGGTTCTCCATTGTCTGTATCGCCAGTTTTGGTGTTGTAGGGCAATCTGAAGATGTTCACACTGATGACGAGGGTTGAGGGTAGGTCCAGAGTAAGGTCTACGGCAATGGATGTTCCCGCTATTAAGACGTTGGCGTACTGTATCAGTACTGATTGTTTTTCCGTGTGTTACCACTGTCGATTGTCCACAACATGGCAATCTTGTTGTCTTGTGGTAACCCTTGGTCTGCCAGTACGGGGGCGATCATTTGTGCTGTTGGTGGCCCGGAAACGTTGCTGCAGCCTGTAGATGGTCCGAACGTTCACCTGGAAGTGATTGGCAACGGCTTGTGCAGTGTGGCCAGCTTCAAGTCTTCCTAGCGCCTGGTTCCTCTGAGCTGCTGACGTTGTAATGTGAATGTTTCAACCAGGTTTGGGGGTGCATTTTATAGGGATGGTCCTTGTGAACAACACGTGCAGCATGAGTTATATAAAAACCATGGAGAACACCGTACCATCTCCAAGATCAGGTTGCGTTTTTTGAGACCATTTCCGGGTTCAATTCTGAGTTTGGGAAGGAATGTCTTTGCTCAGGTAAAGTTGGAGATGTTGTCAAAAATATTCAATCAAACGATTAAATGAGTTTACAGTTATCCGTTTCTGCGAAGGAATATTCCAAACTGAAGTTTCATTTGCTGCTTAGTATATGTCCTTTGGTATGACGTGTCATGCTAAAACACAGGTTTGCTTTTATATATCCACTATGAGGGTACATAAAGGTGTATTTACTATGGAGTTACTCTTCTGATGGCAGATGGAATCAACACGCACTACGGAAGCCACATGGACAGCACCGTCTTGTGGAAAGTTTTACATAACTGTGGTCGCCTATAATGGAGCTCAGCAGAGAAGCGATGCTGTTTGTTCAGATGGAGTGGAGACGTGCAAGCCCTCCCCTGTCTTCAGTAAATCCCCAGATCTTATTTTACAGTTTTTGTCGCCATTATGTCTTATATAACTAATTTAAATAAGAGAAGCAAAGGGTACGCTTGCCCCTGGCAGCCATGCTGGTTTGGTTTATAATCAGGTCAGGCCCCTTGTCCCATTTAGGCGATATTAATGACTTGAAGATTTCATTGTAAATTACGTGATGTACAATAGGACATACTGGTGGTTAGGTAGCCCAGAGAAAATGTGTCAAATGCTATAATAAAACATTTCAATAGAAGACCAAGGGACATATTCAGTAAGATGCACATTCAAAACCCATATTTAGAAAGATGCACATTCAAAACCTGTGTAGATATGAATAAGATATTTCGTGTTAGAGTTTTTAAAATCTACAATTTACATATAACATCACTGGTGAAATTGCTTAAACCAAGACAGATTCGTATCAGTTTTATTCATTATATTAGACGATCGTTAATAGACAAAATCAGCTTTCTAATAGTTATTTACATATTTTACAAACAAGTGCTAAGACGGCTTTGATGAAAGTTTTCATTTTAATTGTTTGGAAGTGTCTTTATCAAAGATTTTACGATCACTTTAATATCCTGATTGAAGTACATAACTGCAACCTTGAATCAAAACGTGTTGTAGCCAGATGGCATCTTCACTCACAAAGTGGAGCATATTTAATACTAAATGGTATGAATATGAGTGCAGCATTTAGATAGATCCTATCCTGGCCAGACGATGGTTTCAATGCTTGATAACTTGAGGCATACATCAACCTTCCACCATCTCTGTTTCACTTGTTAATTGTCCCATTGAATTGTGTTTGTTATATAGTAATAGTTCTGATAGTTTCCTTATAGCTTTACGATAGTTTTTGTTTTAAAAAAAAGGCAGTTAGTGAAATTGTTCCATATTCAGATACCTGTTCCTGGCGAAGTGACAGCACCAGATGTTATCCAGGAACCTGCAAGGGAGAGTATGCCAGTAACTGTTCCTGCTCAAGTGGCTTTACTGGACAACACTGCCAGACAAGTAAGTCTTATCCTGACGGAAGCATGAATAGATGTGCTCGCATTGCGTAGGACCGTTTTTTCATTACCAACGTGGTCAACGTATGGGTAGTTGCATATTAATCTCCTACGTCACACGAGTGTCGTATCGCGTTGACCTGTGTCGTAACGACTTGACCTGAAATCCTAACGATTTGATTGGATAACCGATGACCTCTCAAGTACGTCACATTCTGACGTAACTATTTTTTCATTCTTAACAAACACGTGCATTCATTCATTCTACAACTTAAATGCATTGTGGGAAAGTAAACATTGCGAACGTTGCCGTGTCGCTGTTTAATTGTGAGTCGAACTGAGACATTATATCTGTCGAAAAACATAAACGCAATGTTTCCACCAGTGATGTTAGCCGAATGAAGCAACTGGAAACCAAGAAACGAGGTGCAACGGAGTAGTTTACTGTATAGTAGGAGGCTGTACGAGGCGACGACAACTGACATGCATCGTGACGTCGGTTACCATGGCAGTGACGTCATTAGTGTGACGTCATGCAAATATTGTACTACAGTACAAAACTCTTCCGCAACCTCTTTATGAAACCGGTTTCAGTTTGAAACCAAAAACATAACAAAAATACGCTATTGTGTAAATTTAAATGCATGTAAGGCGTGGGTAATAAATAAAATACCACACTCGGTCTCATTACATACGAATTATACGAAACTCGTGACCTTCCTATGTTATCTGACCTCGCTTTCGCTCGGTCAGATACCATAGGAAGGACACTCGTTCGTATAATTTGTATGTCATGACAAATTGTACGAGTTCAACATTGCGATATCCGCCTTTTCATGCCATTATAAAGAACATTTGGAGTCTGTGCCCTATAGTATCTTTTACTTTCCAGTAACAACGGAACCCACAATAAACTCCACACTCTTTCGCTTGACCACCAGCAATGGGGACACAGCCATGGAACCTTCCATCATCAACAGTGGCCAATTTCAGTCCACCACCTGGTCAAACGTCACGTCTCCATCCAGAATGTACTACAAGTTTACGGCAAAATACAAAATGGTACCTCCATCCAGACATGCATTCATTGAAGACTTCCGTATTGGAATTGTCGGCGGCTCTGCATCATTCAAACTGGAGAGACGTACGTCATCACATACATCTCAGAATATCCTTCACATACACATTACATAGTATTTGTATTTAGAATAATAATGCATTTACATTTGCACGTTGACTTATTGTATCCTTTTTCATACAGGATGGTGTGTTGTTTCAACCATGATAACCATCTGTGGAGGAGCCAGTCGAAGCAGCCCGGAGACAGACCTGTACACCTGTGAAGGAAACATATCAAGGACATCTTTACTTCTTCTACCCTTCCAACATAAAGATGTGTGAGTAGAGAACTAATTATAAACCAGAAAATAGCGGAGAGAAGCATATTTTTTGGTTGCATTGCACTGATAAGGGGTGAAGAATATGTTTAAATCAATCGAATTTACACAGACATGGAACGGTTTGGTAGTTGAGATCATAGTGCACGCTTCAAATATATCACGAGGCAGCATACTTAAATTTGCATTGTTTAAATGTTGTTCCTCCACAGTATTGTGGTTTCCTACAAGGCGACCAACGGTGGATATGTTAAAGTCCGCAACAAAGAGACAAAGAACCTTGCGACCTTCTACTACAGTGGTGCATCACAGACCCGTACCTTTACTATGACCATTGACCTGGTGCCTCCCTATCACTGTACGGGTAGTTCTACCTGTGTTGGCAGCATGTTGACAGCTCCAAATGCTATCACAACAGTAGGTATTTGACAGTGTTACTTTTTATGCGAACACATACACTCTCTTAAAGATCACATATACTCTAGGGGGTTACAAATACATAAATTACTAATTGGCATCGTTATAAATGAAACCCCATCATTAAAACTACTCATTTGGATCATTAATTAACTTAAATCGACCTTTTTGACAACAGTGCACAATTATCACCCGCGAACGAAATTTCAACCAAACAGAGGGGCGCGTGTCCGTGACGTCATGTGAGGAATAGATATGAGGGCCGATGCAGAATTCATGTACATTTCAGGGGGTAAAGTATCCTGTTTACAGGTTTGTATAAACCTGAAATCGTGACAACTGTTGTGAAAAATGAAAGCTATATGTTCTCACAATCTACTGTCATTTAATTTTGTCTCCTGCTTTGCCTAGTTTCCGAGTTATAACTCTGTCAAAATCGCCTGGCGTCGCTAGTCCTTATTTGTTTGCTGGTGATAGTGAAAACGATGATCAGCCTCGCTCATCACGGTTACGGTTAATTTCGTCAACTTAAACAGTGCGACATTAAGAAGGGTGGATGCCCATCAGATGCAGTTATTTGAAAATATCCCCGGTTGTTCTTGTCTGACTGAAATAAAGTATCAAAGTAGTTAGGGCTTTTTCAGGTTTTCTAATGCCTGGATAGTATAATGACTGATCCAAATTGATCCCATTTCTGTGGGTTATTTTATCTCGATATTTAATTATGTCATGTAAAAATATACCGTCTATTACGTATGATACTAAAGATTTACATTTGATTTATTTGAATCCGTAAACTAAACAACCCTACTTTGCCATTGCGAGAAGAATCTGAAAATTAGGTACATACAGTTTTAGCACACAGCAAATGTTTATATGTATTTCTTATGCAACAATGAAGTTCTGTTCTTATTTTCAAAACAGTGTCGGCCCATAAGTTTTCACATGTAATTAAAATTGCATGCAATACAACAATTAATACTCCCTTGTTGTAACCCGTGTTAGGTGGTATAAACCTACACATGTTATTTGTCATCATTCACTTGATGGTCAGTTAATGAATTTATAACAGGTAATATTAGTTGTAACACCACTTAGATTACCCGACAAAGGTTCCCATTTGACATTTCTTGTGTCTGGAGTAAATAGTCAACATTATAAACCTCGATCAAAGGCTTAACCGACCACATGCTGATTGATTAATTACTTTTATCTTGCACAGCGGATTTGTCAAAAGGTAGTGTTTATGTATGTTTATTTACTAATCTATACTGAATACGCTCTGTCGTGTCTGTCTGTGTAAAAACAACGTCCTTCTTTCTTTAACCGCCAATACATTGATTGATTGCTCATTATTGGCTAACTAAATTGCTTGTTTTAGTTGCCAGGTGAGCTATCTTGGGTGACCAATGAGACTATACACCAATGTGAAATACCTGAAACGATATATCACTTTTTCGTATATTAAACTGTTAAAAGACACATCACTTGGAACAGCTGCAGATGAATGGCATATCACTCGTTTTTGTGGATATTGATGGATACATTCCTCGAACAAGGTACTAGCCTGAGATTGTTCCTATACCTTTAATCTGTTTTAATTTGAATATTTGCATTTTGTTTTTAATTCATTAGTCGTAGCATTGAACAGAATCATTGTTTTTGCGGTGAAGTGTAATGAGACAGACAACATACACTAGGGCGTGTGTGCGTATTATGATTCACTTTGGCTAACTATAAAATGTCTAGATATTACAGTCCTGTTATAAATTCTCTATATGTATCAGCAGATCGCCTGCTTTTTATTACGTTTCAAAATGCATACAAGTATGATAATAAACTAATTAGTATTATAAGACCAAATATAAAGACGTACATTGACTAGTATCTACATACTGTTGAGTGGACGTTAAGCATATGAATGTAGCAAGAAATTTATCGCGCAGAATTGTCACTTCGACACCCACCTCGCTTCCGTGGAAGAAATCGTTATGTTACAAGTTGTGTCATGCAAATCCTTTTGGTCATGATTCAAATACATATTTAACTACGAGGAGAAAGTAGTTTTGATTTTCTAACTTGATGAAAACAAACCATAATTTCATTAATTCTAACAGACTTTAGCCGTGACTTCAATTAATTGGCGAACATCCGCCAGTCTGAGGATAAATGCTATTCAGGTTTGTTTTCACCGAGTTTCAAAATCGAAGCTACTTTCTACTGGTAGTAAAATATATATTTGATTGATGGCCAATAGGATTTTGCATGACATAGCTTATAACATAACAATTTCTCTCGTGGAAGCGAGGTGGATGTCAATATAATACTACTTACAATATTATTGTCACTTCGACAACAACCTCGCTTCCGAGGAAGAAATCGTTATGTTACAAGTTGTGTCATGGAAAATCGTTTTGGTCATCAATCATATACATATTTTACTACAACTAGTAAGTAGTTTTGATTCTTTAACTTCCGTGAAGCAATCTGAACACAAATAAGATATCGTTCCAAGCTTCCACAACGCTCGCTTCGCACTCACAAACATAACCCATTTAGCACGAACTGCGGGTCCTGTGGAAATCTATGCATGATGACACGATTGCCCGACCCCTAGGAGCAATTGACGACAACGCAACGATTAGGCATGTCTTCGTTGATGCCGAGAAATCGTCAAAATGACGAGCTTGCTACACACTTTATATACAATTAACTAAAAAGCCTTCCTCACATGACGTCACTGGAGTGCTCTGGCAACAGAATTACGTAACCTGTCTGAGGTTTCGTTGGCGGGCGCGAATGAAGCAGGCGACTCTTTTGCAACTTTTAATCGCACGGTATTAATTAACCACAAGTTTTGTAAGAATGATTGTGGTGTTCCGCATAAGACTAACTTCAAATCTTTCATATGGAATGGTTAAAAGAGTACAGAAAAAAACAAAGTTTATTACTTCTTTAAACCGTACAGTGCATCTGTAAAAGTACAATCCATCATTGTTGCAGTCCACATTGAACCTCCGTTGGAGTGGCTGGTCAGATACTGATGCAGGTATCGACCACTTTGTGAGGGAAGTGTATGAACTTCACGCTGTTGGGGATGTACTCAGAGATAAACGTCGGATAGCCAGGAAGCTTTTAGCAAGCTACAAGGTGAATAAGTCCTTTCTTACTTGTCATATTCGTTATTCTAAATGGGATGAAAGAATCGAAAAAGGAAACTTGATGTGGAGTATAGTAACATATCATGCGTCGTGTAATTTAAATAAGAACATTTCACATCATTGACTTCTGACCCCAAAGTATACCGCAGTATGATTGATCCTTGTCAGAACAGAACACCTTAATTAATTTGGGACGCCGAAGTATTGTTTGAGAGTATGTTTCAGTTTTTTTCTCTCTGACATCTTATTTCAGACCAGCGACAAGTTCAGAGTCTTCAAATCAGGGGTGTATTCTGTAGTATTATCTGCCTACGACAAGGCTGGTAATTACAGAAGTGCTCGACGAATCATGGTGTATGATGGTACTTCAACTGTAACAGCTCAGGCTAATAAAAAACTACGTGTGATGACAGCAGCGTCAGCATCAGCGTGGCAAACGACTTCATCTGCAGTGACAGTAGACTGGACCAACAGATACATCAACACAGTCCATTACAACAACAAGTGGCTCCTGGGCGTGGCTTCTCATGGCAACATCAGTTCGGACTATGATGATAACGAGGGAAGCAGAGGTATAGGTGAAGTCAGAAATGTTCAAGGTATGTGGCATACAAGAAAACAATACATGTCAGCTGATACGTTCTGATGTAAAAGAGATTCCTGCTGTGGCATAGACGTAAATAAGTGCAGCATTTCACTTCATAAAATGTGATACTTAATAAGTACCATATAAGATATTGTGATGTGGGATTGTTTCTAGGAATCACACGTTTCCGAACATCTTACAAAGTCGACCACCAAGGAGGGTCGTCCATCACCAGTCCACCAGCTGATAACCTGTTCACCAGTCAAGGTCTGAATCAGTCACAGACCATAACACCCTCACTAGTGGACGGGGACACTGTGCGCTTCTGGATACGAGCTTATGACATCGTGTTGGAAATGAAAGAAGAGAATGCAACAGTTCACATCGACACATCACCTCCAGTCATAGAGAACCTGTGGCTCTCTAGAAGCAGCTGTCTCAACATCAGTACACGTCTTGTAGAGGAACTTCATGACGTAATGTGAGAATGTATATAGTATTTTAGCCATTTCACAATTCGGTTTTCATCTTCCTCTTTAAAAGTTGCAGCAAGATAAGACACACGAGTTTATGCTGAAGCTTTTGACATTGTGCAAAGTGAAACTTGTCAGAAATACAATGAGGTGCAATAAATTCATGTTCATGATCATTCCACTTTACCAATAATATCTGTATCTGATTTTAGAGTGGAGTTTGATGTGTACGATGAACACAGTGGAGTGGAAGAGATGGAATGGAGAATAGTAGAAAAAGAGGAAGACAAGGACACAGTGTTAGCTATCCATGACATCTCGATTCAAAGCCAACGTGTATGTCACTGTTTTTAGCTCGTGTCCAGAAGTTAATAGTAATATCAGTAACGAAAAGAATTTACCCTGCATATTAATATTAGTACTCTTATCCTTCTTATTTTGAACAACTGAACCTAAATAGGAAGTAATTACTATAATAACATCGTTTCATGCTGTAGAATTTCATGAATAATTCCAGACTCTGGATGACTGCAAGACCATGCATGATGCAAGGGATGGTAACTGTTATTGTACTCCAGCTGGCACATGTTATCATTCCAACTACCAAGTGAAACCAGCCCTGGCAGACATAAGGGACGTCAAGCTGTCTGAAGGAAAGGCTTACTGGTTTCAAGTCACAGCTACAAATTATGCTAAACTCCAAACTGAACAGGAAGTAAAGGTATAAATGATTAAATTCTTAAATGAACTCACCTCTCATGGAATTGCTTGCATATGACATCCCCCATGTGATAATGTTAAACTGACGATTATTAACTGACACCCTTACTGGAGTATTGCCCATGATTTTGAGAGAGAAAGAGAAATGACATACGTGGACTACATTATGGCACATTCACAAAGATAAACCAAAATTAATTATTAGGTAATAAATTAACCCCACTTGAAAGGTCACATTAAGTTGAAACATGTTACTCTCGATTGCCTTTTCTGTGTAAATCATATGATTGCATAATAACTGATGCAAGCTTAATTGATACAATTAGTCAAACACTTGGTATATTTCTTTGTGGAATTTGAAATTAATGTGATTTGCCCGTTGACCATGCTCTAAAGATCTCTAAGAACGCATTCTGGGCTCTGTAAACATATCCTTAAATGGAAATGATAGACTGGTGAAACTGAACATTCACTGTTTAGATCCAAATGGATGCTAATCCCCTTCATCCAGGCGTTGTCCACGATGGTCAGCCTGGACAACCGGAAGTGGACTACCAGGACAATCTACAGCTCCACGCCCACTGGGAAGGATTCTTTGACAGAGAGAGTGCAATTGTCTTTTACCAGTACACTTTCGGACCAAGATGTTTACAGGGACACGTGTTTGACCTCAACAAAACTCAAAACGTTAGTCTTTTATTGTTCGATTGTAAACAGTGCAGCTCTGTTAAAAACGTTAACATAGACATACTTCTTAGCAGTTTCGGAAAACCAAGTTTATTGTCATGACAGCATTTAAGTTTGTTTTCACATGTCATTTGTGAACGTCTATGGCGAATAGTGCTGTCATATTCTCATCGATCAAGAGACTGACCACCTGATCAGACAAGCATTAGCTGCTGAAGACTAATTGCTTGATTCCGACAACCTTAATGATTTGTAACATAGACATACAAAAACTTTCTTGGAAAATGTGAGAAGATTTCGTCCCTCAGAATATATACTCAGCAGCAAAATAAAGGTCAGTACGAATTCAAAATTAGATACGCACTGTAATCAAACCATTACAGAAATTGACATAATAAGCAGATCAAAAATGTTTGTGTACAGTATCTTGACACATCGATGAATAACTCAGCACAATTACAAAACATTACGTGAACGTTTGCAGTCCATTCAGACTCTTGATTTCAGTATCTAGTGTGACCACCACGGTCGCCAATAACTGCAGCACAGCGCCTATGCATGGAGTGCACCAATCGATTGATGAAATCCATTGGCACCTGGAACCACACTCTGAGAAAAGCCTGGCGAATAAATCAGCTGTGTTCAGCCTTGGTATGACATTATTCAGTCTGCTCTGAATTTCATCCCAAAGATGTTCGATTGGGTTTAAATCAGGACTAAGGGCTGGCCACTGCATAATGTTGACACCGTTCTGCTGTAGGGAGTCCCGTGTAGCTCTGACAGTATGGGCCCGGGCGTTATCAGGCTGGAAAATGTTGTTCTGGTGACGTGCGAAATGTGGCATGACGTGAGGTCTGAGATCCTGGTCGATGTAGCACACCACTGTGATGCCGCCTCCTCTCCCTGGACCAAGGTTCTGGAGCACCACAGGACAGACTTTCTGGATCAGGCCTACTCCACCCCACACCATAATGCTTGCACCTCCCCATGAGTCTCTTTCCATAACACATTGGTCTGAGTAAGGCTGGCCACGTCGTCGCCATATTCTTGTTCTGCCATCTGCAGTTGATACGCAGTACCGACTCTCATCTGTGAACAGAACAGTTCTCCATTGCCTGTATCGCCAGTTTTGCTGTTGTAGGGCAATCTGAAGATGTTCACGCCGATGACGAGGGTTGAGGGTAGGTCCAGGGTAAGGTCTACGGCAATGGAGGTTCTCGCCGTAAGACGTCGGCGTATTGTATCAGTACTGATTGTTCTTCCGTGTGTTACCACTGTCTGGCGTGCAGTTTCGGATGCCTGCAAGAAGCGATTTTGTATATGCTGTCGCACAACATGGCCGTCTTGTCGTCTTGTGGTAAGCCTTGGTCTGCCAGTACGGGGGCGATCATTTGTGCTGTTGGTGGCCCGGAAACGTTGCTGCAGCCTGTAGATGGTCCGAACGTTCACCTGGAAGTGATTGGCAACGGCTTGTGCAGTGTGGCCAGCTTCAAGTCTTCCTAGCGCCTGGTTCCCCTGAGCTGTCGTGAGTCGCAGCATCCTGATGACGTTGTAATGTGAATGCTTCAACCAGGTTTGGGGGTGCATTTTATAGGGATGGTCCTTGTGAACAACACGTGCAGCATGAGTTGTATAAAAAACCATGGAGAACACCGTACCATCTCCAAGATCAGGTTGCGTTTTTGAGACCATTTCCGGGGTTCAATTCTGAGTTTGGGAAGGAATGTCTTTGCTCAGGTAAAGTTGGAGATGTTGTCAAAAATATTCAATCAAACCATTAAATGAGTTTACAGTTATCCGTTTCTGCGAAGGAAAATTCCAAACTGAAGTTTCATTTGCTGCTTAGTCTATACCATTTGGTATGACGTGTCATGCTAAAACACAGGTTTGCTTTTATATATCCACTATGAGGGTACATAAAGGTGTATTTACTATGGAGTTACTCTTCTGATGGCAGATGGAATCAACACGCACTACGGAAGCAACATGGACAGCACCGTCTTGTGGAAAGTTTTACATAACTGTGGTCGCCTATAATGGAGCTCAACAGAGAAGCGATGCCGTTTGTTCAGATGGAGTGGAGACGTGCAAGCCCTCCCCTGTCTTCAGTAAATCCCCAGATCTGATTTTACAGTTTTTGTCGCCATTATGTCTTATATAACTAATTTTAAATAAGAGAAGCAAGGGGGTATGCTTGATGCTGGCAGCCATGCTGGTTCGGTTTATTATCAGGTCAGACCCCTTGTCCCATTTAGGCGATATTAATGACTTGAAGATTTCATTGTAAATTACGTGATGTACAATAGGACCTAGTGTTGGTTGGGTAGCCCAGAGAAAATGTGTCAAATGCTATAATAAAACATTTCAATAGAAGACCAAGGGACATATTTAGTAAGATGCACATTCAAAACCCATATTTAGAAAGATGCACATTCAAAACCTGTGTAGATATGAATAAGATATTTCGTGTTTGGTTTTTAAAATCTACAATTTACATATAACATCACTGGCGAAATTGCTTAAACCAGAATCAAATCTTATCAATATTATTCATTATATTAGTCGATCGTTAATAGACAAAATCAGCTTTCTAAAAGTTATTTACATATTTTACACACAAGTGCTCAGACGGCTTTGATGAAATGAAAGTTTTCATTTTGATTGTTTAGAATTGTCTTTATTAAAGATTTTACAATCACTTTAATATCCTGATTGAAGTACATAACTGCAACCTTGAATCAAAACGTGTTGTAGCCAGATGGCATCTTCACTCACAAAGTGGAGCATATTTAATACTAAATGGTATGAATATGAGTGCAGCATTTAGTTAGATCCTATCCTGGCCAGACGATGGTTTCATTGCTTGATAACTTGAGGTATACATCAACCTTCCACCATCTCTGTTTCACTTGTTACTTGTCCCATTGAATTGTGTTTGTTATATAGTAATGGTTCTGATAGTTTCCTTATAGCTTTACGATATTTTTGTTTTAAAAAAAAGGCAGTTAGTGAAATTGTTCCATATTCAGATACCTGTTCCTGGCGAAGTGACAGCACCAGATGTTATCCAGGAACCTGCAAGGGAGAGTATGCCAGTAACTGTTCCTGCTCAAGTGGCTTTACTGGACAACACTGCCAGACAAGTAAGTCTTATCCTGACGGAAGCATGAATAGATGTGCTCGCATTGCGTAGGACCGTTTTGTATGTCATGACAAATTGTACGAGTTCAACATTGCGATATCCGCCTTTTCATGCCATTATAAAGAACATTTGGAGTCTGTGCCCTATAGTATCTTTTACTTTCCAGTAACAACGGAACCCACAATAAACTCCACACTCTTTCGCTTGACCACCAGCAATGGGGACACAGCCATGGAACCTTCCATCATCAACAGTGGCCAATTTCAGTCCACCACCTGGTCAAACGTCACGTCTCCATCCAGAATGTACTACAAGTTTACGGCAAAATACAAAATGGTACCTCCATCAAGGCATGCATTCATTGAAGACTTCCGTATTGGAATTGTCGGCGGCTCTGCATCATTCAAACTGGAGAGACGTACGTCATCACATACATCTCAGAATATCCTTCACATACACATTACATAGTAGTTTTCGTTAGCATAATAATGCATTTACATTTGCACGTTGACTTATTGTATCCTTTTTCATACAGGATGGTGTGTTGTTTCAACCATGATAACCATCTGTGGAGGAGCCAGTCGAAGCAGCCCGGAGACAGACCTGTACACCTGTGAAGGAAACATATCAAGGACATCTTTACTTCCTCTACCCTTCCAACATAAAGACGTGTGAGTAGAGAACTTATTATAAACCAGAAATAGCGGAGAGAAGCATATTTTGGTTATACTGCGCTTTGTAAAATGTTAAGGGTGATTGATGAGGGGTGAAGAATATGTTTAAATCAATCGAAATTACACAGACATGGAACGGTTTGGTAGTTGAGATCATAGTGAACGCTTCAAATATATCACGAGGCAGCATACTTAAATTTGCATCGTATAAATATTATTCCTTCACAGTATTGTGGTTTCCTACAAGGCGACCAACGGTGGATATGTTAAAGTCCGCAACAAAGAGACAAAGAACCTTGCGACCTTCTACTACAGTGGTGCATCACAGACCCGTACCTTTACTATGACCATTGACCTGGTGCCTCCCTATCACTGTACGGGTAGTTCTACCTGTGTTGGCAGCATGTTGACATCTCCAAATGCTATCACGACAGTAGGTATTTGACAGTGTTACTTTTTTATGCGAACACATACACTCTCTTAAACCGTACAGTGCATCTGTAAAAGTACAATCCATCATTGTTGCAGTCCACATTGAACCTCCGTTGGAGTGGCTGGTCAGATACTGATGCAGGTATCGACCACTTTGTGAGGGAAGTGTATGAACTTCACGCTGTTGGGGATGTACTCAGAGATAAACGTCGGATAGCCAGGAAGCTTTTAGCAAGCTACAAGGTGAATAAGTCCTTTCTTACTTGTCATATTCGTTATTCTAAATGGGATGAAAGAATAGAAAAAGGAAACTTGATGTGGAGTATAGTAACATATCATGCGTCAGTGACCAATCTCGCCATTTCGTTAACGTGTAATTTAAATAAGAACATTTCACACCATTGACTTCTGACCCAAAGTATACCGCAGTATGATTGATCCTTGTCAGAACAGAACACCTTAATTAATTTGGGACGCCGAAGTATTGTTTGAGAGTATGTTTCAGTTTTTTTCTGTCTGACGTCTTATTTCAGACCAGCGACAAGTTCAGAGTCTTCAAATCAGGGGTGTATTCTGTAGTATTATCTGCCTACGACAAGGCTGGTAATTACAGAAGTGCTCGACGAATCATGGTGTATGATGGTACTTCAACTGTAACAGCTCAGGCTAATAAAAAACTACGTGTGATGACAGCAGCGTCAGCATCAGCGTGGCAAACGACTTCATCTGCAGTGACAGTAGACTGGACCAACAGATACATCAACACAGTCCATTACAACAACAAGTGGCTCCTGGGCGTGGCTTCTCATGGCAACATCAGTTCGGACTATGATGATAACGAGGGAAGCAGAGGTATAGGTGAAGTCAGAAATGTTCAAGGTATGTGGCATACAAGAAAACAATACATGTCAGCTGATATGTTCTGATGTAAAAGAGATTCTGCTGTGGCATAGACGTAAATTAGTGCAGCATTTCACTTCATAAAATGTGATACTTAATAAGTACCATATAAGATATTGTGATGTGGGATTGTTTCTAGGAATCACACGTTTCCGAACATCTTACAAAGTCGACCACCAAGGAGGGTCGTCCATCACCAGTCCACCAGCTGATAACCTGTTCACCAGTCAAGGTCTGAATCAGTCACAGACCATAACACCCTCACTAGTGGACGGGGACACTGTGCGCTTCTGGATACGAGCTTATGACATCGTGTTGGAAATGAAAGAAGAGAATGCAACAGTTCACATCGACACATCACCTCCAGTCATAGAGAACCTGTGGCTCTCTAGAAGCAGCTGTCTCAACATCAGTACACGTCTTGTAGAGGAACTTCATGACGTAATGTGAGAATGTGTATAGTATTATAGCCATTTCACAATTCGGTTTTTCATCTTCCTCTTTAAAAGTTGCAGCAAGATAAGACACACGAGTTTATGCTGAAGCTTTTGACATTGTGCAAAGTGAAACTTGTCAGAAATACAATGAGGTGAAATAAATTCATGTTCATGATCATTCCACTTTATCAATAATATCTGTATCTGATTTTAGAGTGGAGTTTGATGTGTACGATGAACACAGTGGAGTGGAAGAGATGGAATGGAGAATAGTAGAAAAAGAGGAAGACAAGGACACAGTGTTAGCTATCCATGACATCTCGATTCAAAGCCAACGTGTATGTCACTGTTTTTAGCTCGTGTCCAGAAGTTAATAGTAATATCAGTAACGAAAAAAATTACCCTGCATATTATATTAGTACTCTTATCCTTCTTATTTTGAACAACTGAATCTAAATAGGAAGTAATTACTATAATAACATCGTTTCATGCTGTAGAATTTCATGAATAATTCCAGACTCTGGATGACTGCAAGACCATGCATGATGCAAGGGATGGTAACTGTTATTGTACTCCAGCTGGCACATGTTATCATTCCAACTACCAAGTGAAACCAGCCCTGGCAGACATAAGGGACGTCAAGTTGGCTGAAGGAAAGGCTTACTGGTTTCAAGTCACAGCTACAAATTATGCTAAACTCCAAACTGAACAGGAAATAAAGGTATAAATGATTAAATTCTTAAATGAACTCACCTCTCATGGAATTGCTTGCATATAACATCCCCATGTGACAATGTTAAACTGACGATTATTAACTGACACCCTTACTGGAGTATTGCCCATGAGTTTGAGAGAGAGAAGAGAAATGACATACATGGACTACATTATGGCACATTCACAAAGATAAACCAAAATTAATTATTAGGTAATAAATTAACCCCACTTGAAAGGTCACACTAGGTTTGAAACATGTTACTCTCGATTGCCTTTTCTGTGTAACTCATATGATTGCATAATAACTGATGCAAGCATAATTGATACAATTTGTCAAACACTTGGTATATTATGGCAATGGGACCTTATTTGTGTTTTCCATGTTGGGTTTCATCGTCTTTGTAAAATTTGAAATTAATGTGATTTGCCCGTTGGCCATGCTCTAAAGATCTCTAGGAACGCATTCTGGGCTCTGTAAACATATCCTTAAATGGAAATGATAGACTGGTGAAACTGAACATTCACTGTTTAGATCCAAATGGATGCTAACCCCCTTCATCCAGGCGCTGTCCACGATGGTCAGCCTGGACAACCGGAAGTGGACTACCAGGACAATCTACAGCTCCACGCCCACTGGGAAGGATTCTTTGACAGAGAGAGTGCAATTGTCTTTTACCAGTACACTTTCGGACCAAGATGTTTACAGGGACACGTGTTTGACCTCAACAAAACCCAAAACGTTAGTCCTTTATTGTTCGATTGTAAACAGTGCAGCTCTGTTAATAACGTTAACATAGACATACTTCTTAGCAGTTTCGGAAAACCAAGTTTATTGTCATGACAGCATTTAAGTTTGTTTTCACATGTCATTTGTGAGCGTCTATGGTGAATATTACTGTCATATTCTCATCGATCAAGGAAGTCAGCGAGACTGACCACCTGATCAGACAAGCATTAGCTGCTGCAGACTAATTGCTTCATTCCGACAACCTTAATGATTTGTAACATAGACATACAAAAACTTTCTTGGAAAATGTGAGAAGATTTCGTCCCTCAGAATATATACTCAGCAGCAAAAAAAAAAGTCAGTACGAATTCAAAGTAAGATAGGCACTGTAATCAAACCATTAAAGAAATTGACATAATAAGCAGATCAAAAATGATTTTTGTGTACAGTATCTTGACTCATCAATGAATACCTCAGCACAATTTCAAGACATTACGTGAACGTTTGCAGTCCATTCAGACTCTTGACTTCATTATCTAGTGTGACCACCACGGTCGCCAATAACTGCAGCACAGCGCCTATGCATGGAGTGCACCAATCGATTGATGAAATCCATTGGCACCTGGAACCACACTCTGAGAAAAGCCTGGCACAATAAATCGGCTGTGTTCAGCCTTGGTATGACATTATTCAGTCTGCTCTGAATTTCATCCCAAAGATGTTCGATTGGGTTTAAATCAGGACTAAGGGCTGGCCACTGCATAATGTTGACACCGTTCTGCTGTAGGAAGTCCCGTGTAGCTCTGACAGTATGGGCCCGGGCGTTATCAGGCTTGAAAATGTTGTTCTGGTGACGTGCGAAATGTGGCATGACGTAGGGTCTGAGAGCTTGGTCGATGTAGCACACCACTGTGATGCCGCCTCCTCTCCCTGGACCAAGGTTCTGGAGCACCACAGGACAGACTTTCTGGTTCAGGCCTACTCCATCCCATGCCATAATGCTTGCACCTCCCCATGAGTCTCATTCCTCAACAAATTGGTCTGAGTAAGGCTGGCCACGTCGTCGCCATATTCTTGTTCTGCCATCTGCAGTTGATACGCAGTACCGACTCTCATCTGTGAACAGAACAGTTCTCCATTGTCTGTATCGCCAGTTTTGCTGTTGTAGGGCAATCTGAAGATGTTCACGCCGATGACGAGGGTTGAGGATAGGTCTACGGTAAGGTCTACGGCAATGGATGTTCCCGCTGTTAAGACGTCGGCGTACTGTATCAGTACTGATTGTTCTTCCGTGTGTTACCACTGTCTGGCGTGCAGTTTCGGATGCCTGCAAAAAGCGATTTTGTATATGCTGTCGCACAACATGGCGGTCTTGTCGTCTTGTGGTAAGCCTTGGTCTGCCAGTACGGGGGCGATCATTTGTGCTATTGGTGGCCCGGAAACGTTGCTGCAGCCTGTAGATGGTCCGAACGTTCACCTGGAAGTGATTGGCAACGGCTTGTGCAGTGTGGCCAGCTTCAAGTCTTCCTAGCGCCTGGTTCCTCTGAGCTGCTGACGTTGTAATGGGAATGTTTCAACCAGGTTTGGGGGTGCATTTTATAGGGATGGTCCTTGTGAACAACACGTGCAGCATGAGTTGTATAAAAAACCATGGAGAACACCGTACCATCCCCAAGATCAGGTTGCGTTTTTGAGACCATTTCCGGGGTTCAATTCTGAGTTTGGGAAGGTATGTCTTTGCTCAGGTAAAGTTGGAGATGTTGTCAAAAATATTCAATCAAACCATTAAATGAGTTTACAGTTATCCGTTTCTGCAAAGGAATATTCCAAACTGACGTTTCATTTGCTGCTTAGTATATGTCCTTTGGTATGACGTGTCATGCTAAAACACAGGTTTGCTTTTATATATCCACTATGAGGGTACATAAAGGTGTATTTACTATGGAGTTACTCTTCTGATGGCAGATGGAATCAACACGCACTACGGAAGCCACATGGACAGCACCGTCTTGTGGAAAGTTTTACATAACTGTGGTCGCCTATAATGGAGCTCAGCAGAGAAGCGATGCCGTTTGTTCAGATGGAGTGGAGACGTGCAAGCCCTCCCCTGTCTTCAGTAAATCCCCAGATCTGATTTTACAGTTTTTGTCGCCATTATGTCTTATATAACTAATTTTAAATAAGAGAAGCAATGGGGGTATGCTTGATCCTGGCAGCCATGCTGGTTCGGTTTATAATCAGGTCAGACCCCTTGTCCCATTTAGGCGATATTAATGACTTGAAGATTTCATTGTAAATTACGTGATGTACAATAGGACCTAGTGGTGGTTGGGTAGCCCAGAGAAAAAGTGTCAAATGCTATAATAAAACATTTCAATAGAAGACCAAAGGACATATTTATTAAGATGCACATTCAAAACCCATATTTAGAAAGATGCACATCCAAAACCTTTGTAGATATGAATAAGATATTTCGTGTTTGGGTTTTAAAATCCACAATTTACATATAACATCACTGGTGAAATTGCTTAAACCAGAATCAAATCTTATCAATATTATTCATTATATTAGTCGATCGTTAATAGACAAAATCAGCTTTCTAAAAGTTATTTACATATTTTACACACAAGTGCTCAGACGGCTTTGATGAAATGAAAGTTTTCATTTTGATTGTTTGGAAGTGTCTTTATTAAAGATTTTACAATCACTTTAATATCCTGATTGAAGTACATAACTGCAACTTTGAATCAAAACGTGTTGTAGCCAGATAGCATCTTCACTCACAAAGTGGAGCATATTTAATACCTAATGGTATGAATATGAGTGCAGCATTTAGTTGGATCCTATCCTGGCCAGACGATGGTTTCATTGCTTGATAACTTGAGGTATACATCAACCTTCCACCATCTCTGTTTTACTTGTTACTTGTCCCATTGAATTGTGTTTGTTATATAGTAATAGTTCTGATAGTTTCCTTATAGCTTTACGATATTTTTGTTTTGAAAAAAAGGCAGTTAGTGAAATTGTTCCATATTCAGATACCTGTTCCTGGCGAAGTGACAGCACCAGATGTTATCCAGGAACCTGCAAGGGAGAGTATGCCAGTAACTGTTCCTGCTCAAGTGGCTTTACTGGACAACACTGCCAGACAAGTAAGTCTTATCCTGACGGAAGCATGAATAGATGTGCTCGCATTGCGTAGGACCGTTTTGTATGTCATGACAAATTGTACGAGTTCAACATTGCGATATCCGCCTTTTCATGCCATTATAAAGAACATTTGGAGTCTGTGCCCTATAGTATCTTTTACTTTCCAGTAACAACGGAACCCACAATAAACTCCACACTCTTTCGCTTGACCACCAGCAATGGGGACACAGCCATGGAACCTTCCATCATCAACAGTGGCCAATTTCAGTCCACCACCTGGTCAAACGTCACGTCTCCATCCAGAATGTACTACAAGTTTACGGCAAAATACAAAATGGTACCTCCATCCAGACATGCATTCATTGAAGACTTCCGTATTGGAATTGTCGGCGGCTCTGCATCATTCAAACTGGAGAGACGTACGTCATCACATACATCTCAGAATATCCTTCACATACACATTACATAGTATTTGTATTTAGAATAATAATGCATTTACATTTGCACGTTGACTTATTGTATCCTTTTTCATACAGGATGGTGTGTTGTTTCAACCATGATAACCATCTGTGGAGGAGCCAGTCGAAGCAGCCCGGAGACAGACCTGTACACCTGTGAAGGAAACATATCAAGGACATCTTTACTTCCTCTACCCTTCCAACATAAAGATGTGTGAGTAGAGAACTAATTATAAACCAGAAAATAGCGGAGAGAAGCATATTTTTTTGGTTGCATTGCACTGATAAGGGGTGAAGAATATGTTTAAATCAATCGAATTTACACAGACATGGAGCGGTTTGGTAGTTGAGATCATAGTGCACGCTTCAAATATATCACGAGGCAGCATACTTAAATTTGCATTGTTTAAATGTTGTTCCTCCACAGTATTGTGGTTTCCTACAAGGCGACCAACGGTGGATATGTTAAAGTCCGCAACAAAGAGACAAAGAACCTTGCGACCTTCTACTACAGTGGTGCATCACAGACCCGTACCTTTACTATGACCATTGACCTGGTGCCTCCCTATCACTGTACGGGTAGTTCTACCTGTGTTGGCAGCATGTTGACAGCTCCAAATGCTATCACAACAGTAGGTATTTGACAGTGTTACTTTTTATGCGAACACATACACTCTCTTAAAGATCACATATACTCTAGGGGGTTACAAATACATAAATTACTAATTGGCATCGTTATAAATGAAACCCCATCATTAAACTACTCATTTGGATCATTAATTAATTAAATCGACCTTTTTGACAACAGTGCACAATTATCACCCGCGAACGAAATTTCAACCAAACAGAGGGGCGCGTGTCCGTGACGTCATGTGAGGAATAGATATGAGGGCCGATGCAGAATTCATGTACATTTCAGGGGGTAAAGTATCCTGTTTACAGGTTTGTATAAACCTGAAATCGTGACAACTGTTGTGAAAAATGAAAGCTATATGTTCTCACAATCTACTGTCATTTAATTTTGTCTCCTGCTTTGCCTAGTTTCCGAGTTATAACTTGTTTTCATAGACGACTCTGTCAAAATCGCCTGGCGTCGCTAGTCCTTATTTGTTCGAGCCAGACGCTGGTGATAGTGAAAACGATGATCAGCCTCGCTCATCACGGTTACGGTTAATTTCGTCAACTTAAACAGTGCGACATTAAGAAGGGTGGATGCCCATCAGATGCAGTTATTTGAAAATATCCCCGGTTGTTCTTGTCTGACTGAAATAAAGTATCAAAGCAGTGTGGGCTTTTTCAGGTTTTCTAATGCCTGGATAGTATAATGACTGATCCAAATTGATCCCATTTCTGTGGGTTATTTTACCTCGATATTTAATTATGTCATGTAAAAATATACCGTCTATTACGTATGATACTAAAGATTTACATTTGATTTATTTGAATCCGTAAACTAAACAACCCTACTTTGCCATTGCGAGAAGAATCTGAAAATTAGGTACATACAGTTTTAGCACACAGCAAATGCTTATATGTATTTCTTATGCAACAATGAAGTTCTGTTCTTATTTTCAAAACAGTGTCGGCCCATAAGTTTTCACATGTAATTAAAATTGCATGCAATACAACAATTAATACTCCCTTGTTGTAACCCGTGTTAGGTGGTATAAACCTACACATGTTATTTGTCATCATTCACTTGATGGTCAGTTAATGAATTTATAACAGGTAATATTAGTTGTAACACCACTTAGATTACCCGACAAAGGTTCCCATTTGACATTTCTTGTGTCTGGAGTAAATAGTCAACATTATAAACCTCGATCAAAGGCTTAACCGACCACATGCTGATTGATTAATTACTTTTATCTTGCACAGCGGATTTGTCAAAAGGTAGTGTTTATGTATGTTTATTTACTAATCTATACTGAATACGCTCTGTCGTGTCTGTCTGTGTAAAAACAACGTCCTTCTTTCTTTAACCGCCAATACATTGATTGATTGCTCATTATTTTTTTTATTTTTTTTAATTTTTTATTTGCTGTTGAATACATGAACTCAAAAACTGTACAACAGTATGAGATATCTTGGTACACAAGCTGTGATGGGTTCGAGATACCCATGATCACCTCAATGAACACACACTGAGCAAAGAAGGACCTTAAAAGATAGTTGCATGGTAACAATGGTAGCATGATATATATATATATATATATATATATATACAGTATGACGTCATTACATATATATTGTGACGTCATAATAGGGACAACATTCTAGAGCGACAAGGTCACAGCTTGCAATGGTTTAACATTGGTTTGTACTTGTCTATGAAGTAGTGTTCTTTTAAAATTCGTTTTACTTTGTCCGAATTTTGAACTTGATAAAAAGGAAATATTGTAAATTTAACATCGTTTCCTTTCGCACAGACATCTAGATGTTCACTCAGTGGGATACATCGGGTTTCAGGACACTTTATTTGTTGTTTGTGGACACGAACCCGGGCTCTTAAATTTTCTGATTGACCAATATACTGTTCATTACAGCCTGTGCATGTTATGACATATATTATGTTTTTGCAAGAGCAGTAAATAAATTTGGCTTTTGTTAGTATCTTTTTAAGATTCTGATTTTGTCTTTTGCTATTTATTATTTTTCTAGATTTCAGCATTGATTTCAGTTTTTCATCTTGTTCTAAGATGCACATATTTGTTTTTATGTTCTGGAACACATTTGGGTTCAACGGATTATAAGTAGATACAAAAGCAATTACTTTTTCCTCATTGGTTTGTTTCATCGTTCCTGTCAAAAGATCGTCTCTATTAAGCTGTAAAGCTTTATATATTCCGTCTTCAACAAGAGAATTTGGATATTCCTGTAATAGTAAAACGTCCTAAGTTCATTCAGTCTTTGATTGCGGGTGTCTTGGTTTGAAACTATTGTACATATTCTTCGTGCCAGGTTATATGGAAGACTTCTTTTGGTGTGGCTCGGATGGCAAGATTTGAAGTTTAAATATTGTTTCGTATCTGTAGGTTTGTAGAAGATATCTGTGTCCATTTCCGCCACGATTTGATGACCATTATGTCTAAGAAAGCTGTTTTAGTTTGATCTGTCTCCATAGTGAAAGTGAAGATTTTCGTCCATGCTATTTAATAGTTCGTAAAATGTATTTAGTTTCTCCTCAGAAAATGGCCAAATTATGAAGCAGTCGTCTAGAAATCTTTTCCAATTTTCCATGAAATAATGGGCAACATCCTCTCCAAGAATTTGACTGATTTTATGCTTGAACTTTTCCTCCAGATATCCTAAGACAAGCGTCGCATAAGTCGGCGCCATTTTGGTTCCCATGGCTGTTCCTTTAATCTGTTTATAGTACTTATCGTCAAAAAAGAAAATATTGTTTTTTAAGATGAATTCAACGCTTTCCAAAATGAATGACTTTGAAATTCGCTCAGGAATGTGTTCTTCACAACGGTTTAACCAATAATCCAACGCTTTAATTCCTAGGCTGTGCGGGATATTTGAATACAAATTTTTTACATCAAAAGTTACAAGTTTGCTTGTTTCATTAACGTTTTGTGGTAAAGAGGAAAGGAAATGCATGGTGTCACGAGTAAAACTTTTAACATTTGATGAGATTGGTTTCAATAAAATATCAATGAAATTACTTAGTCTATGTGTAGCACACGCTGGGCCTGCAATTATAGGTCGGAGTTTCAAATCTCCCGGGTGTTCCATCTCAACATAGCTGCTTTTAGGATTTTACATTGTCTTATGTTCTCCTTACTTTTATGAATTTTGGGGTAAGCCATAGAAATTGCCTCGATTTGCAGTCAAAATGTGTAATATAATTTAATTCCTTTGATGTCAGCTCTTCTGAGTACTGACTGGTTAGGTTCTTTAATTTCCGAAGTACACTGTCTGACTCTTTTCACTGCACGGGGCATAAGTACCTTTGTCCAGGAGTAAGTCCATTGCCATGTGTTTGTAGTTCGTTGAATCCATTATCACTGCTGCTCCGCCTTTGTCAGCTTCTTTTATTATGATGTTCGGATCATTGGCCAAAGAGTTTAAAGAATCTCTCTGTTGGATAATTGTTTATTTGATCCACAAAATTATCCAAATGTTTGTTTTGTCCCTTTTTGGCGCCCCAAAAACTTTTATTTCTAACTAGGGATTCCTCCCCATTTTCACACTCGAAAAACATAATATATGTCATAACATGCACAGGCTGTAATGAACAGTATATTGGTCAATCAGAAAATTTAAGAGCCCGGGTTCGTGTCCACAAACAACAAATAAAGTGTCCTGAAACCCGATGTATCCCACTGAGTGAACATCTAGATGTCTGTGCGAAAGGAAACGATGTTAAATTTACAATATTTCCTTTTTATCAAGTTCAAAATTCGGACAAAGTAAAACGAATTTTAAAAGAACACTACTTCATAGACAAGTACAAACCAATGTTAAACCATTGCAAGCTGTGACCTTGTCGCTCTAGAATGTTGTCCCTATTATGACGTCACAATATATATGTAATGACGTCATACTGTAACCGCTACAATCTCCCTGAAGAGTAAAGAACGAAACATGTTGGAGAAAAGGGCATTCTGTTTTTATTTATCTATGCAATATTTATGACTGAACACCAGTACTACTTTGGACATTTTGTGCGTATATATATATATATATATATTTTTATATATATATTTATTTATTTTAATGAATAGGTATGAAAAATAAATAAAAATAAAATAAAAAAAATAAATAAATAAGTAAATAAATAAAGGTAGAAAAAAACCAAAAAGAAACACATATGTAATGAATAACTAAATAAAAGATTGCCTAGCTTAATAATAATACTTCATTCATTCACACATTCACACCACAACATACATACCCAATTATTGAATAGATATTTCTTCATTAATTAAGTTTCGTAAATGGCCCATTTCCTTTCAAAGTCATTAAGCATAGCTTTTTTACAATGTCTATCTTTTTCTATCAAATAATAGTATCTTAATTCTTTCTTAAAATGGGATAGGGTTGGTGATTTCTTTTGCAGCTTGCATCTATATATATGATACTTGGCAAGTAGCAAAATGAGATGAAAAATATCATCAGTTTGAAAAGTGGATGAACAACCAAAAAGGATCAGATCAACTTGGAAATTAATAATACCTGTGTGCGAGCAGTTTTGTTCAATCCACTGAGAAAGCATTTGCCAAAAATGTTTACTTATTCTACAGTTCCAGAATAGGTGAAGTATAGTTTCAGGCCCACTCCCACAGAATGTGCACAGATTATTATCAACAATATTCATTTTAATCAAGTATGTATTTACTGGAAATATTCTATGAAGCAACCTATATTGCATCCATCTTAATTTGGGATCGGGACTTGTCTTAAAGGGTTTTATAAAGATATGGCTCCAATTAATATTAATCAAGGTTTCATCTTCCCATTTTTCGTTGATCTTCAATTTTTCTTCACCTTCAGTGATTTTAAAATAATAGCTCTTTGATCCTTTTTTACACGAAAAAAGATTATTCATATTAATGTTTATAAGGTTATCTAACATCACATTTGAGGGTTTTTTTAATCCCTGTAGCTTTGAGGTACTTATTAACTGCTTTTAGAATTCCATGAAATTCAGTAAAATTTATATTGTAGAATTTATGACAAAACTGTACAAGCGTCATAAAGTTACCTCCATCATTCAGTAGACAATGAATATTAATAATGTCATGTTCTTGAAATGCTTTTCTGTAGAAAGATTTGCCATCTATAATTATGTTTCTGTTATACAAAAGGGGTTCCCTAAGAAAATCTTCATAGGTATTTGGTTTATTTTTATAGCTATAATTGGCAAACGCATTCAGAGTATCTTTCCAGAAAATATTCTGTATAGATTTTGAAAGCTTGTGTGGAAAGTCGCTACCAAACAGTGTAAGGTTTAAATATTGTGGAAGTGTTTCTATCAGTAGGTGTTTCCACTTTCTATCATAGTTTTGTTGTTGTAGTTTTCTAATCCATGTTACTTTCAGGGCATCGACATAGGCATATATGTCGATCATGCCAAGCCCACCGTCAGCAATTGGTCTACAAACTACTGTTCGTTTAATTTTGTCAGGTTTGTTATCCCAGAGAAAACTAAATAACATACTATTTAACTTTTTAAAGAAAACACTAGGTGGATTGGGCAGAGTAAGGAAAAGGAAATTTAATTTGGAAATGAGCAGTGACTTGATAATAGCAATTTTACCTAGAGGGGTTATAGTTCTCTTCATCCATCGTTTAATAATCTCTTCAATTTCATATAGCTTACTTTCATAATTTAGCTTAATCATCTTGTTAATATCAGATTGCTCATTATTGGCTAACTAAATTGCTTGTTTTAGTTGCCAGGTGAGCTATCTTGGGTGACCAATGAGACTATACACCAATGTGAAATACCTGAAACGATATATCACTTTTTCGTATATTAAACTGTTAAAAGACACATCACTTGGAACAGCTGCAGATGAATGGCATATCACTCGTTTTTGTGGATATTGATGGATACATTCCTCGAACAAGGTACTAGCCTGAGATTGTTCCTATACCTTTAATCTGTTTTAATTTGAATATTTGCATTTTGTTTTTAATTCATTAGTCGTAGCATTGAACAGAATCATTGTTTTTGCGGTGAAGTGTAATGAGACAGACAACATACACTAGGGCGTGTGTGCGTATTATGATTCACTTTGGCTAACTATAAAATGTCTAGATATTACAGTCCTGTTATAAATTCACTATATGTATCAGCAGATCGCCTGCTGCTTTTTATTACGTTTCAAAATGCATACAAGTATGATAATAAACTAATTAGTATTATAAGACCAAATATAAAGACGTACATTGACTAGTATCTACATACTGTTGAGTGGACGTTAAGCATATGAATGTAGCAAGAAATTTATCGCGCAGAATTGTCACTTCGACACCCACCTCGCTTCCGTGGAAGAAATCGTTATGTTACAAGTTGTGTTATGCCAATCCTTTTGGTCATGATTCAAATACACATTTAACTACGAGGAGAAAGTAGTTTTGATTTTCTAACTCGATGAAAACAAACCATAATTTCATTAATTCTAACAGACTTTAACCGTGACTTCAATTAATTGGCGAACATCCGCCAGTCTGAGGATACATGCTATTCAGGTTTGTTTTCACCGAGTTTCAAAATCGAAGCTACTTTTTACTGGTAGTAAAATATGTATTTGATTGATGGCCAATAGGATTTTGCATGACATAGCTTATAACATAACAATTTCTCTCGTGGAAGCGAGGTGGATGTCAATATAATACTACTTACAATATTATTGTCACTTCGACAACAACCTCGCTTCCGAGGAAGAAATCGTTATGTTACAAGTTGTGGCATGGAAAATCGTTTTGGTCATCAATCATATACATATTTTACTACAACTAGTAAGTAGTTTTGATTCTTTAACTTCCGTGAAGCAATCTGAACACAAATAAGATATCGTTCCAAGCTTCCACAACGCTCGCTTCGCACTCACAAACATAACCCATTTAGCACGAACTGCGGGTCCTGTGGAAATCTATGCATGATGACACGATTGCCCGACCCCTAGGAGCAATTGACGACAACGCAACGATTAGGCATGTCTTCGTTGATGCCGAGAAATCGTCAAAATGACGAGCTTGCTACACACTTTATATACAATTAACTAAAAAGCCTTCCTCACATGACGTCACTGGAGTGCTCTGGCAACAGAATTACGTAACCTGTCTGAGGTTTCGTTGGCGGGCGCGAATGAAGCAGGCGATTCTTTGCAACTTTTAATCGCACCGTATTAATTAACCACAAGTTTTGTAAGAATGATTGGGGTGTTCCGCATAAGACTAACCACAAATCTTTCATATGGAATGGTTAAAAGAGTACAGAAAAAAACAAAGTTTATTACTTCTTTAAACCGTACAGTGCATCTGTAAAAGTACAATCCATCATTGTTGCAGTCCACATTGAACCTCCGTTGGAGTGGCTGGTCAGATACTGATGCAGGTATCGACCACTTTGTGAGGGAAGTGTATGAACTTCACGCTGTTGGGGATGTACTCAGAGATAAACGTCGGATAGCCAGGAAGCTTTTAGCAAGCTACAAGGTGAATAAGTCCTTTCTTACTTGTCATATTCGTTATTCTAAATGGGATGAAAGAATAGAAAAAGGAAACTTGATGTGGAGTATAGTAACATATCATGCGTCGTGTAATTTAAATAAGAACATTTCACACCATTGACTTCTGACCCCAAAGTATACCGCAGTATGATTGATCCTTGTCAGAACAGAACACCTTAATTAATTTGGGACGCCGAAGTATTGTTTGAGAGTATGTTTCAGTTTTTTTCTCTCTGACATCTTATTTCAGACCAGCGACAAGTTCAGAGTCTTCAAATCAGGGGTGTATTCTGTAGTATTATCTGCCTACGACAAGGCTGGTAATTACAGAAGTGCTCGACGAATCATGGTGTATGATGGTACTTCAACTGTAACAGCTCAGGCTAATAAAAAACTACGTGTGAGTACAGCAGCGTCAGCATCAGCGTGGCAAACGACCTCATCTGCAGTGACAGTAGACTGGACCAACAGATACATCAACACAGTCCACCACAACAACAAGTGGCTCCTGGGCGTGGCTTCTCATGGCAACATCAGTTCGGACTATGATGATAACGAGGGAAGCAGAGGTATAGGTGAAGTCAGAAATGTTCAAGGTATGTGGCATACAAGAAAACAATACATGTCAGCTGATACGTTCTGATGTAAAAGAGATTCTGCTGTGGCATAGACGTAAATAAGTGCAGCATTTCACTTCATTAAAATGTGATACTTAATAAGTACCATATAAGATATTGTGATGTGGGATTGTTTCTAGGAATCACACGTTTCCGAACATCTTACAAAGTCGACCACCAAGGAGGGTCGTCCATCACCAGTCCACCAGCTGATAACCTGTTCACCAGTCAAGGTCTGAATCAGTCACAGACCATAACACCCTCACTAGTGGACGGGGACACTGTGCGCTTCTGGATACGAGCTTACGACATCGTGTTGGAAATGAAAGAAGAGAATGCAACAGTTCACATCGACACATCACCTCCAGTCATAGAGAACCTGTGGCTCTCTAGAAGCAGCTGTCTCAACATCAGTACACGTCTTGTAGAGGAACTTCATGACGTAATGTGAGAATGTATATAGTATTTTAGCCATTTCACAATTCGGTTTTCATCTTCCTCTTTAAAAGTTGCAGCAAGATAAGACACACGAGTTTATGCTGAAGCTTTTGACATTGTGCAAAGTGAAACTTGTCAGAAATACAATGAGGTGCAATAAATTCATGTTCATGATCATTCCACTTTATCAATAATATCTGTATCTGATTTTAGAGTGGAGTTTGATGTGTACGATGAACACAGTGGAGTGGAAGAGATGGAATGGAGAATAGTAGAAAAAGAGGAAGACAAGGACACAGTGTTAGCTATCCATGACATCTCGATTCAAAGCCAACGTGTATGTCACTGTTTTTAGCTCGTGTCCAGAAGTTAATAGTAATATCAGTAACGAAAAGAATTTACCCTGCATATTAATATTAGTACTCTTATCCTTCTTATTTTGAACAACTGAACCTAAATAGGAAGTAATTACTATAATAACATCGTTTCATGCTGTAGAATTTCATGAATAATTCCAGACTCTGGATGACTGCAAGACCATGCATGATGCAAGGGATGGTAACTGTTATTGTACTCCAGCTGGCACATGTTATCATTCCAACTACCAAGTGAAACCAGCCCTGGCAGACATAAGGGACGTCAAGCTGTCTGAAGGAAAGGCTTACTGGTTTCAAGTCACAGCTACAAATTATGCTAAACTCCAAACTGAACAGGAAGTAAAGGTATAAATGATTAAATTCTTAAATGAACTCACCTCTCATGGAATTGCTTGCATATGACATACCCCATGTGATAATGTTAAACTGACGATTATTAACTGACACCCTTACTGGAGTATTGCCCATGATTTTGAGAGAGAAAGAGAAATGACATACGTGGACTACATTATGGCACATTCACAAAGATAAACCAAAATTAATTATTAGGTAATAAATTAACCTCACTTGAACGGTCACATTAAGTTGAAACATGTTACTCTCGATTGCCTTTTCTGTGTAAATCATATGATTGCATAATAACTGATGCAAGCTTAATTGATACAATTAGTCAAACACTTGGTATATTTCTTTGTGGAATTTGAAATTAATGTGATTTGCCCGTTGACCATGCTCTAAAGATCTCTAAGAACGCATTCTGGGCTCTGTAAACATATCCTTAAATGGAAATGATAGACTGGTGAAACTGAACATTCACTGTTTAGATCCAAATGGATGCTAATCCCTTCATCCAGGCGTTGTCCACGATGGTCAGCCTGGACAACCGGAAGTGGACTACCAGGACAATCTACAGCTCCACGCCCACTGGGAAGGATTCTTTGACAGAGAGAGTGCAATTGTCTTTTACCAGTACACTTTCGGACCAAGATGTTTACAGGGACACGTGTTTGACCTCAACAAAACTCAAAACGTTAGTCTTTTATTGTTCGATTGTAAACAGTGCAGCTCTGTTAAAAACGTTAACATAGACATACTTCTTAGCAGTTTCGGAAAAACAAATTTATTGTCATGACAGCATTTAAGTTTTGTTTTCACATGTCATTTGTGAGCGTCTATGGCGAATAGTGCTGTCATATTCTCATCGATCAAGAGACTGACCACCTGATCAGACAAGCATTAGCTGCTGAAGACTAATTGCTTGATTCCGACAACCTTAATGATTTGTAACTTAGACATACAAAAACTTTCTGGAAAATGTGAGAAGATTTCGTCCCTCAGAATATATACTCAGCAGCAAAATAAAGGTCAGTACGAATTCAAAATTAGATACGCACTGTAATCAAACCATTACAGAAATTGACATAATAAGCAGATCAAAAATGTTTGTGTACAGTATCTTGACACATCGATGAATAACTCAGCACAATTTCAAAACATTACGTGAACGTTTGCAGTCCATTCAGACTCTTGATTTCAGTATCTAGTGTGACCACCACGGTCGCCAATAACTGCAGCACAGCGCCTATGCATGGAGTGCACCAATCGATTGATGAAATCCATTGGCACCTGGAACCACACTCTGAGAAAAGCCTGGCGAATAAATCAGCTGTGTTCAGCCTTGGTATGACATTATTCAGTCTGCTCTGAATTTCATCCCAAAGATGTTCGATTGGGTTTAAATCAGGACTAAGGGCTGGCGACTGCATAATGTTGACACCGTTCTGCTGTAGGAAGTCCCGTGTAGCTCTGACAGTAAGTGCCCAGGCGTTATCAGGCTGGAAAATGTTGTTCCGGTGATGTGCAAAATGTGGCATGACGTGGGGTCTGAGATCCTGGTCGATGTAGCACACCGCTGTGATGCCGCCTCCTCTCCCTGGACCAAGGTTCTGGAGCACCACAGGACAGACTCCCTGGTTCAGGCCTACTCCACCCCATGCCATAATGCTTGCACCTCCCCATGAGTCTCATTCCTCAACAAATTGGTCTGAGTAAGGCTGGCCACGTCGTCGCCATATTCTTGTTCTGCCATCTGCAGTTGATACGCAGTACCGACTCTCATCTGTGAACAGAACAGTTCTCCATTGCCTGTATCGCCAGTTTTGCTGTTGTAGGGCAATCTGAAGATGTTCACGCCGATGACGAGGGTTGAGGATAGGTCTACGGTAAGGTCTATGGCAATGGAGGTTTCCGCTGTTAAGACGTCGACTTAATGTATCAGTACTGATTGTTCTTCCGTGGGTTACCACTGTCTTTTATGTAGTTTCGGATGCCTGCAAGAAGGGATTTTGTATATGCTGTCGCACAACATGGCGGTCTTGTCGTCTTGTGGTCACCCTTGGTCTGCCAGTACGGGGGCGATCATTTGTGCTGTTGGTGGCCCGGAAACGTTGCTGCAGCCTGTAGATGGTCCGAACGTTCACCTGGAAGTGATTGGCAACGGCTTGTGCAGTGTGGCCAGCTTCAAGTCTTCCTAGCGCCTGGTTCCTCTGAGCTGTCTTGATTCACAGCATCCTGCTGACGTTGTAATTAGAATGTTTCAACCAGGTTTGGGAGTGCATTGTATAGCGCTGGTCCTTGTGAACAACACGTGCAGCATGAGTTGCATGAAAAACATGGAGAACACCATACCATCTCCATGATCAGGTTGCGTTTTTGAGACCATTTCCGGGGTTGAATTCAGAGATTGGGAAGGAATGTCTTTGCTCAGGTAAAGTTGGAGATGTCAAAAATATACAATCAAAACATTATATGAGTTTACAGTTATCCGTTTCTGCGAAGGAAAATTCCAAACTGACGTTTCTTTTGCTGCTTAGTATATGTCCTTTGGTATGACGTGTCATGCTAAAACACAGGTTTGCTTTTGTATATCCACTATGAGGGTACATAAAGGTGTATTTACTATGGAGTTACTCTTCTGATGGCAGATGGAATCAACACGCACTACGGAAGCCACATGGACAGCACCGTCTTGTGGAAAGTTTTACATAACTGTGGTCGCCTATAATGGAGCTCAACAGAGAAGCGATGCCGTTTGTTCAGATGGAGTGGAGACGTGCAAGCCCTCCCCTGTCTTCAGTAAATCCCCAGATCTGATTTTACAGTTTTTGTCGCCATTATGTATACTATAACTAATTTTAAATAAGAGAAGCAAGGGGGTACCTTTGATATTGGCAGCCATGCTGGTTCGGTTTATCATGAGGTCAGGCCCCTTGTCCCATTTAGGCGATATTAATGACTTGAAGGTTTCATTGTAAATTACGTGATGTACAATAGGACCTAGTGTTGGTTGGGTAGCCCAGAGAAAATGTGTCAAATGCTATAATAAAACATTTCAATAGAAGACCAAGGGACATATTTAGAAAGATGCACATTCAAAACCTGTGTAGATATGAATAAGATATTTCGTGTTTGGGTTTTAAAATCTACAATTTACATATAACATCACTGGTGAAATTGCTTAAACCAGAATCAAATCTTATCAATATTATTCATTATATTAGTCGATCGTTGATAAAACAATCAGCTTTCTAAAAGTTATTTACATATTTTACACACAAGTGCTCAGACGGCTTTGATGAAATGAAAGTTTTCATTTTGATTGTTTGGAAGTGTCTTTATTAAAGATTTTACAATCACTTTAATATCCTGATTGAAGTACATAACTGCAACTTTGAGTCAAAACGTGTTGTAGCCAGATGGCATCTTCACTCACAAAGTGGAGTATATTTAATACCAAATGGTATGAATATGAGTGCAGCATTTAGTTGGATCCTATCCTGGCCAGACGATGGTTTCATTGCTTGATAACTTGAGGTATACATCAACCTTCCACCATCTCTGTTTTACTTGTTACTTGTCCCATTGAATTGTGTTTGTTATATAGTAATGGTTCTGATAGTTTCCTTATAGCTTTACGATATTTTTGTTTTAAAAAAGGCAGTTAGTGAAATTGTTCCATATTCAGATACCTGTTCCTGGCGAAGTGACAGCACCAGATGTTATCCAGGAACCTGCAAGGAGAGTATGCCGGTAACTGTTCCTGCTCAAGTGGCTTTACTGGACAACACTGCCAGACAAGTAAGTCTTATCCTGACGGAAGCATGAATAGATGTGCTCGCATTGCGTAGGACCGTTTTGTATGTCATGACAAATTGTACGAGTTCAACATTGCGATATCCGCCTTTTCATGCCATTATAAAGAACATTTGGAGTCTGTGCCCTATAGTATCTTTTACTTTCCAGTAACAACGGAACCCACAATAAACTCCACACTCTTTCGCTTGACCACCAGCAATGGGGACACAGCCATGGAACCTTCCATCATCAACAGTGGCCAATTTCAGTCCACCACCTGGTCAAACGTCACGTCTCCATCCAGAATGTACTACAAGTTTACGGCAAAATACAATATGGTACCTCCATCAAGGCATGCATTCATTGAAGACTTCCGTATTGGAATTGTCGGCGGCTCTGCATCATTCAAACTGGAGAGACGTACGTCATCACATACATCTCAGAATATCCTTCACATACACATTACATAGTAGTTTTAGTTAGCATAATAATGCATTTACACTCACTCGTTGACTTATTGTATCCTTTTTCATACAGGATGGTGTGTTGTTTCAACCATGATAACCTTCTGTGGAGGAGCCAGTCGAAGCAGCCCGGAGACAGACCTGTACACCTGTGAAGGAAACATATCAAGGACATCTTTACTTCCTCTACCCTTCCAACATAAAGATGTGTGAGTAGAGAACTAATTATAAACCAGAAAATAGCGGAGAGAAGCATATTTTGGTTGTACTGGGCTTTGTAAAATGTTAAGGGTGATTGATGAGGGGTGAAGAATATGTTTAAATCAATCGAAATTACACAGACATGGAACGGTTTGGTAGTTGAGATCATAGTGAACGCTTCAAATATATCACGAGGCAGCATACTTAAATTTGCATCGTTTAAATATTGTTCCTTCACAGTATTGTGGTTTCCTACAAGGCGACCAACGGTGGATATGTTAAAGTCCGCAACAAAGAGACAAAGAACCTTGCGACCTTCTACTACAGTGGTGCATCACAGACCCGTACCTTTACTATGACCATTGACCTGGTGCCTCCCTATCACTGTACGGGTAGTTCTACCTGTGTTGGCAGCATGTTGACAGCTCCAAATGCTATCACAGCAGTAAGTATCTGACAATGTTACTTTTAATGCCAACACATACACTCTCTTAAACCGTACGATACATCTGTAAAAGTACACACCATCATTCTTGCAGTCCACAGTGAACCTCCGCTGGAGTGGCTGGTCAGATGATGATGCAGGTGTCGACCATTTTGTGAGGGAAATGTATGAACTTCACGCTGCTGGGGATGTACTAAGAAATAAACGTCGGATAGACAAGAAGTCGTTTACAAGCTCCAAGGTGAATCAATGTTATCCTACCAGTCATATTGGTTATTTTAAATGAGATGAAAGAATTCTGAAAGTCTCCTTAATGTTGAGTGTAGTAGCGTATCATAAGTAACTAATCTCGTAATTTCTTACAAATGTTCATTCTATATAAGGACACTTTACATCACTGACTTAGGCATAGTGTGACCTATTTGTGTGATGATGACCGTTGGTTCCAGTCCCAAAGTATACTGTAGTATAGTTGATGTAAAATTGATTGATTCTAATTATCAGAACAGAATCTTGGTCGTAGAAGTATTGTGTGAGCGTTTTCGTTTGTATGACGTAATATTTCAGACCAGCGACGACTTCCGAATCTTCAAATCAGGGGTGTATTCTGTAGTATTATCTGCCTATGACAAGGCTGGTAATTACAGAAGTGCTCGACGAATCATGGTGTATGATGGTACTTCAACTGTAACAGCTCAGGCCAATAAAAATCTACGTGTGATGACAGCAGCGTCAGCAACAGCGTCAGCAGCAGCGTGGCGAACGACCTCATCTGCAGTGACAGTAGACTGGACCAACAGATACATCAACACAGTCCATGACAACAACAAGTGGCTCCTGGGCGTGGCTTCTCATGGCAACATCAGTTCGGACTATGATGATAACGAGGGAAGCAGAGGTATAGGTGAAGTCAGAAATGTTCAAGGTATGTGTCGTACAAGAATTCAGGACATGTCAGCTGATATGTTCTAATGGTAAAGAGGATCATGCTGTGGCATAGACGTAAATAAGTGCAGCATTTCACTTCATAACATTTGATACTTAGTAACTACCATATAAGATATTGTGATGTGGGATTGTTTCTAGGAATCACACGTTTCCGAACATCTTACAAACTCGACCACCAAGGAGGGTCGTCCATCACCAGTCCACCAGCTGATAACTTGTTCACCAGTCAAGGTCTGAATCAGTCACAGACCATAACACCCTCACTAGTGGACGGGGACACTGTACGCTTCTGGGTACGAGCATATGACATTAGACGAGAATTCCTTGAAGAACACGTGACAGTCCACATTGACACATCACCTCCAATCATGAAGAACCTTTGGCTCACCAGAAACGGCAGTCTGAACATCAGTATATATTGGGTGGAGGAACTTCAGGATGTAATGTGAGAATGTATATTGTAGTTTTGTCATTTCCTTATTTCGTATCTTCTTCTTCAGAAGTTGCAACAAGATATGACACATTAGTTTATGCTGAAGGTTTTGATACTGTTTAACGTGAAATATATCAGATGAGGTGAAATAAATTTCTAGTTATGAGCGTTCCTTCGTACAACTTTATCAAACATATCTGTATCTAATTTTAGAATGGAGTTTGGTGTGTACGATGAACACAGTGGATTGGAAACGTTGGAATGGAGAATCGTCGAAAAACGGCACGATGAGGACATAGTATTAACTTTCCATGACATCTCTATTCAAGGCCAACGTGTATGTCACTGTTTTTAGTTCGTGTCCAGACGTTTATTGTACAATCAGATTTACCCTGCATATTAATATTAGTACTGTTATCGTTCTTATTTTGGCCAACTGAACCTAAATAGCATGTAATTACTATAATAACATTGTATCATATTGTATTTGATGAATAATTCCAGACTCTGGATGACTGCAAGACCAGGCATGATGCAAGGGATGGTAACTGTTATTGTACTCCAGCTGGCACATGTTATCATTCCAACTACCAAGTGAAACCAGCGCTAGCAGACATAAGGGACGTCAAGTTGGCTGAAGGAAAGGCTTACTGGTTTCAGGTCACAGCTACAAATCATGCTAAACTCCAAACTGAACAGGAAGTAAAGGTATAAATGACTAAATTCTTAAATGAACTCACCTTTCATGGAATTGCTTGCATATAACATCCCCCACGTGACAATGTTAAACTGATGATTATTAACTGCACCCTTACTGTATTGCCTAACTTACCCAAAAGAAGAACGGACTCGTGATTTGAAGGGGAAAATAGAAATTACATGGACTGCATTGAGGTACGAGGGGCGATCAAAAAGTATGTAGAATCACCAAGAAAACGATACAAATGCAGTTATTTTTATGTTTGATTTCCCTACATATTATCTGTAAAATTCAAGCAATTTGGTTTTGCTGTGTTCCGGTCTCAGGATCCCCATTTTGTTTGACCTTTTCTCTTGGTACCATAAAAAAACCCGCAAAATCTACAATAAACTAATGCATCAAGGCATACCCTTATCCAAGAGGTACCAAAGAACAAATCGTTTATCATTTTCTGCAATTTTGTTAGAAATATTATACCCCAATGTGTTGTGATTATCAATATCTGGTTAACCATATTACCAACACATGTGAAATTTTGGATATGGTTTTGCTAACGATTCCTTCAAAATAAAATGGAAGCTTTTCAAACATTGGACATCGAGAATATAGTTAGCTACATACTTTTTTATCGACCTTCGTACATTCACAAAGATAACGCAAACTGAAGGATGTATTAATATTAAGTAGTTAAGTAAGCTGACTTGGACAGTGGCATTAGGTTTGAAACATTTCACTAAAGTATATAATTGCATAATAACTGATGCAAATATAAATTGATACAGTTTGTCTGTAGTATGGCAGTGGGACGTTATTTGTGTATTTCAGACTGGCTTCCTTCGTTTTTTTAAATTTGAAATTGATGTAATTTGACCTTTTGATCATGCTCTAAAGTTCTCTAAGAACCTATTTCGTGTTCTGTAGAGATAACGTGCTATTGAAATGATAGGCTGATCAAACTGAACATTTACTCTTTAGTTCCAAATGGATGCTAGCCCCCATCATGCAGGCGTTGTCCACGATGGTCAGTCTGGACAACCAGAAGTGGACTACCAGGACAGTCTACAGCTCCACGCCCACTGGGAAGGATTCTTTGACAGAGAGAGTGCAGTCAACTTGTATCAGTACACTTTCGGTCCCAGATGTTTACAGGGACACTTGTTTGACCTAAACAAACCCAAAGCCGTTAGTCCTTCATTGTTTGATTGTAAACAATCGTGTTAGTAACGTTAAACATAAAATTCATTGTCATTATAGCATTTATTTTATTTTCATACGTCAGCTGCCAGGGTCCATTACTGTCGTGTTCGATCAGGCAAGTCCGCGAGTATGAGTACTGGCTGCTGAAGATCAGTTGTTTGATTATGACAATGACAACCGTTTTAATAGCATAAATAATTGCAGAAAACTTTTTGCTTATACACAGGTTTGCTTTTCCACTCTAAGTGTACATAAGAGCATTACTATGGTGTATATCTTCTCATGACAGATGGAGTCAACACGCACTACTGAAGCTACATGGACAGCACCGTCCTGTGGAAAGTTTTACATAACTGTGGTCGCCTATAATGGAGCTCAGCAGAGAGGCGATGCTGTTTGTTCAGATGGAGTGGAGACGTGCAAACACTCTCCTGTCTCCGGTAAATCAGAGCTTTTGCTTTTTACAGTTCTTGTCGACATCATGTCTGTCATTATTATTCTTAAATAGATGTAGTAAAGAGGTTTCGCTTGGTCCTGGCAATGAGGTCGCTTTTGGTTCATCATTAGTTCAGGGCCCTTGTCCCCTTTTAACTGAGCCCAAATAAACGACGGCCAAGTCGAACCTAAGCCTTTCAGAGAACGTGTACACTCCCTAACACTGCAGCCTTCTTCCAAGGTGTGTTGTAAACAGCTTTTAATCAAGGTGAACAAGGCTTAAATAGCTGAAATTTTGTGAAACTGAGAATGACCATCCACACATTTCGATTGTTCAAGGCATCATTATCGAAGTAGAATATGCTTACAATGCACTATTTTAAAAGTAGGGAACATTCCAGTAGGGTAAGATTCGGAATACAGCAGGAATATTTAGAATGTCGTTAGAATACGCTCAGAATACCTAGAATTCATTTCGACTGCCGTGCGAGTCCGGCTCGATTGCTGCGTGTATAACACTCGAATTTCAGTTGGAAAGTACCTCGAATGCTTAGAATGCATTCAGAAACCTCTTTGAATGACCCCTGACTATGGATCGAATGTTAAAGAATTCAAACAGAATGCAGCTCGAATAGAATGTAACACGAATGTCCGGAATGTGTTAGCAATGCTGCTGGAACGTTACGCGGTGAGGTACCTGTTGAACCTAGATTATTCATCAGTCTCTGTCCAACTCTCATAGAGTATGGACCTCTTGGACCATGTTGCATTGCTCCAGATTGTTATCCTCCAGCAAGATTTGATAGAAATAAAACGAAGAGGAGGCCAGGAGAAGAAACAGGAATGAATCAAGGTTTTACTTTGGACCAAGGTTTAATTTGGACTTCTTTGTCGCAATGTAGAAAAGAGTGTTTTGAGGTTGTCTCAGTAATAGTGTGGGGTGGGTTTACAGTGACTGGCAGAATACATGCCATTCGCTCGGGAGTACTACCGTGACAACTTCCTGGAGGTCGCACATGGCCTTCTGTGTTTCAGGATAACAACTTAAGAGCACACACTATTTTTGGTTTTACTTAGTACTTCCAACAGAACGTAACCACCTTACCAAGGTCAGAACTCAGACCAGTAGGTGTGGTTGGTAAGTTAGTTGGTTTGTTGTTTAACGCCCATTCAGCAATACTCCAGCAATATGGCGGTGGTCTGTAAATAATCAAGTCCAGTGATTAACATATCACGAGCATCGATCTACGCAACTGGGATTCGATGACCTGTGCCAACCAAGTCAGTGAGCCGGACCACCCGATCCCGATAGTCGCCTCATCCGACAAACATGGGTTACTGAAGACCAATTCAAGCCCGGATTTTCTCGATTCACTCAGTCCAGACGACCATGTCTGGGATAACCATCACCGTTAGCAGCCGCCGACAACTCTCAAAGAACCTGACGATGTCGTGCAAGAAGAATGGAACGGAATGAACCAGGTTGAAATTAGATGTTTCACTGGGAGTATGTCTCGTCAAAGCTTGAGAAAGGCGGTGATTCTCGGGTTATTAAGAAGTTTGACATTTCACTGTAGATGACGCGGTGTACAAAGGGCACTTAGGCCGATCATCTATCAAAATCTATGTCATCTGACATTATCTATCTCATTGAAGATATGAAATATCAATAGTTATATATATCCCCTATTGTGTTGATAGTATGTGGCAGATGAACCAAATTTAATCTGATGAACCAAATTCAGTTTAACTCAACTTTCAGGTCTGCATTCATTAAAAGTTCATAAGTATCACCCGTATCCAAAATAATATTCAACACTCGATTTTCAACACTTAAAAGTGTTTCCTTCATAATGCATTGTGCTAAGGTATTAATGACTTTATGTAGTCAAAGTTATCAAGAGAAGGGAAACTTCATGGGAATGACAAAATGACATGTTGGAATTAAGCCTGAGGTGCCTTTAACAAGCTACAATATGCAGGTAACGTCAATGGTGAAAAGGTTTAAACCAGGTGGGCACCTTTTCTTAAATTATTTAATTATATTGCTTGATTGTTATTGTTCTAGATGTGATCTACATATGTTATACAGGCGTTTTTGGCTTTCTTGTTGATGGAAGCGTACGATCACTTCAACGTACTGATTGAAGTACATAACAACAACTTTGAATCAAAATGTGTTGTAGCCAGATAACCTCTCCACTCATACACTCATGTTTTTAATACCTAGCGGCACATTATGTTATTGGCATTGATAATCCCACCTCAGGCAAGGTGGCTCCTGTGAAACTCATATTCACTTTCCTGCTCGTCAAAATACGACCCCATTCTTCCATCAGAAAGTATTTGCACTGGTCATAATGCATGTAAGGAACTTTGTGGAAATTCTGACTCCAAGAATTGTAATGTGAATATGATGCCATAATAAACATGAAATACCAAGTTATGGGATTTTAACTTTCGTTTCTTCCTTCAGGTATCCTATTGGTCGGAAGAAACCTGGTACTGCTGGTGTCGGCTACTGCGTGCTCTGTGGTTGCAGTTGTAGGCATAGTCGTTGGAGTTGTTGTCTGCAGGAGGAAACGAAGGTTCTGTGTTCTGTTTAAATGCCTCCAATAAAACGTTAGTGTTATCCATCAGGTGCGATTAACTGGATATCATGATCAGACACAAGATGCAAATCATTACGATGTCACTTCGTGGGGTCATCTTTTAGCTCCATACATCTTTTCAGTGTATGTCTGTTCAATACAATGACTAACCCCCCAATATGTTTAGATAGGATATTTGTAATTCTGTGACAAACATGGCTACGAATCATTAGTCAACATATTTAATTCGGTAGTACCAAGTTTCTACAGTGAGGTTTTGAGTAAACTTACGGCTGAAACATCTCCCATCTTACTGGGGCATAATATGCCTGTGTTCGTGAGAGTCGTTTAATGTACATGTATTGATATTTTTATTATTTACAGAGGTAACCCGGAGACTTCTGATCAAGCTGTGTACAACAGCACAGGGTCATCTAAAAATGATAAACCTAAGAAGACAAAACCCAGAGGCAAAACGAGTAAACCTGAAGCGAAGGCGCATCACACGCTTGATGTAACTTCTCGCGAAACTGGCCCTGAGGGACTATACTGTTCTATACAGACTCCTGGGTTGGACGAAACAAACCTGTAGGAACCCGTTGAATGTAAACAGTGGCGAACTAGCCACTATTATCTCCAACAGTACATCAGATGCCTGATATGAAAAAATCTGAATGCTACATGAACTGACACACGTACACACGTGACCAATCCAAACCAAGAGATCAAGTATAACCGCCTTTGGTGTTTATATCCTGCCTGTCTGAACACAAATATAACGAGGATTTACTTGTGCAGCTTTTGCGCTTCTATATCGCAATACGATGAAGTGAGTTTACGGGGAAATTCTCATTTGTGAGTTGTTCAAACATAAGTACCAGGTACGTCCCGAGGCCATGATTCAAATTGTGCAACATCTTTGACATGCGAAGGTCGTCCTGTCAACAACAAAATGGCTTTGTTGATTTTGGGGCTGTCTACTAGAGGTCATTAATATGTTTGTTTGTTGTTAAATGCCGTAAGCAATATTTTAGCTATATCGCGGCGGTCTTTAATTAATCGAGTGTGGACAAGACAATCCAGTGATCAAAAGCGTACCCGTGGGCTTTAATCTACGCAGTTTTGATACGATGTCATGTGTCAACCAAATTGGCAAGCCCGACCTCCCGACCCCGACAGTCGCCTCTTACGACAAGCATGTGCGGCTCAATTCTCAGCCAGATGTTCACGGGTCTCATTAACATTTACGTTTATGTGATACTAAGATATGATATGGCATATTTGTACTTTATGAATAGTCACATGATTTAATAGCATTGCGAAAGCGAGGTAAATTGTTTTTGTACTTCTTTTACATAACATGCAATTCACAGCTCTGAACATTCTTCAGTTGCTAAAATCTCTACTTTAATATACAGTCAACTATAATGGGACACGATATTTACCCTCTCACAGCTCTTTTCTGACAGTGTCATATTTCTATTTTGTCATATTGTCACCTTATCTCTTATCTGGCCTCTCTCCCGTCAGTTCCATTTCTTTATTTGTTTTGCTTCTTTGGGAAAATTAAAACTGTTCTGAACTTTATTTGCATTCTGAATATTAAGTTTTAAGCCTAGCCATGAAGAATGTATAAGCAGAGAACAGAGGTCTCATCCTTGGTCTAATTATCATCATGAAGAAGCTGACATATAATGATCTAAAGCTTCTCTCAATATCGGCGCTAGTTTGGAATTAAATTCAAATGATGCATCATCCGAGTTTGACAAACCAAGTAATATTAGCAGGTTGAATACCAGATTGGAATCCACTATTCTACCATCGAGTATAGGTTATATTTCTTATTGCTTAACTCCGCAACAATATTCTATGCATGACAGCAGTCTGTAAATAACTGAGTCTAGACCAGACAATCCAGTGATTGACATCTTGAGTTTCGATCTAAGCAAAAGCAATACGCTAAGATGCATCAACGGACAAGCACATGTTACTGAAGACAAGTTTCGGGACTCGTTTCGGGACGGTTGGCTCGACCTTGCCCGTCGCTTGCAATAAGACACCCGGGCTATGCGTTAAGCTAATGTTTGTTTAAGTAATGAAATAACTAACACAGTTATGTAGTAATTTTGTTACATATGTTATATTTGGGATTACACTTTCTTAGAAAAGTACAAATCGTAGCATTTTTTTGAGTTGAGTCCATCCGAGATTCGAACCCAATCCTCAGAGCCAGGCACCTAATCGCCAGCACACAAAAACAGCTGCCTAACGCGCTCAGCCACAGCGACTCCCACAAAAATGAAAGTCGGACAACTGGTTGTCAAGACTGCGGGCTAGTAATTCTGTTGTAAATCTAAATCTTTACCAATGATATCCCGAGACAGAATGTTGCCAAAATCTTCAGACAATCGTTGGTGTTCCGTGGACAACTGTAAATACTTATTCTGTGTGATATATAATAGTTGAGAATTTAATTCAGTCTTATTGAAATTCAATAGGAAATCTATACAGTAACAGAAAACCATTACTCAATGGATATGTATCCACAGCAGTCTCAGGGCAAGTTTGAAACATTTGAACATCCTACTATACATAGGCTAGTCAATCTACGTTAAAAAAGGCCTATCACCAAACTAATTGCAACAGAAATTGTTTATGTATTTTTGTCACTATCGGGGTGTCCTTTATGTCAAAAAATCGGACGCCGGGAAAATTCGGGAAAGGTCGAGATATCAGTCAAACAACGATTTGCACGTCGCAAACCTAGGAACACAACGACAAGGGTGACATTTGATGTTTTGTTTGCACATAATGCAGATTGGAAAAGTTCAATCGATGTTTGACAATTAGTAAACCTTGATGAAAAATAACATAAAATAACGCTTTTTTGGGACAATTTCTCAAAGCAACATTCACTTTGTTTCAGATCTTTTCCACATAGTCAGCAAACATAGCTTGTCACAAAGAAATATTGTCTGTGCTACATCTATGGGATTACAATACATTCAAAATATGTAATGTATGTTTTCAAACAAATGAGAGGTGAGTAACAGACATCACTGCCTCGTATCTAGCACTAAGTCATGAGAAATTGTGATTGAAACTTTAACATATACACTACTCATACAACTGAACACGTCAAGATCTCCTTCCCAATCGGGCTGTGAAGCAGTATGGAAATTATATCATAGATGTTTTTGTTCATTAGGATGCTTCCTAATGCTTGTAATTGTTTTGGAACTGTTAGTTGAATTTGTGGATACTAATACTGATCATTACTTAACTTACATACACACGAAATGAAGAGTTGAATTAATGCAAGTCATATTGGATGGGTCCATGTCTGGCAAAAAATGTATGGACGACTTTCCTGGATAGAACCCTTTCATAGAGTTGTGCATAAACGCCGACCAAATTGGGCTTGTACATCTCAAAGGCCAAGTAACTGCTGAAAGTAAGTCCATTTTCCAGGTTTTATCTTGGATTTCCATTTCCTGCAGAGTGTCAAAGACCAAGGAACCAGGAACCCCTACATAATCAACAATATTGATTTTAGCAATGTCAGCTATGCCTGTGGAATTTTTCCTAAGAACAGTTCTCTTGCTGATGTACCCTGGCGTAGTTGCTGAATATGATCCCCATGCCATGAAAGGTTCCATGGCCATCAATAGTGCCAATGTTGTGGTCAACGTTGTCAGCTACGAACTGAAGACATGTGCCATTTGGAACATTGTCAGCACTCTCTTGCATGGCTGCAGCGTTAAGCTCAAATTTCTGAACCTCTTAGTAAGATGCGGAAAAGCCTAGGTTGTTGAGGATATCAAGAAAAAACCTTGACCCGAAATGATGGTGTAGCTGGACACCAAGGGCAAGTTGAAGAGGCGCCATCAAGATGCGTGGGCGTGCTGCCTGCACAATAGCTTGACCTATTGCAGCAATTTTGTTATCAGCATCTGTGATATTGAACAGTTCACTCAGAAATAACTTCAGCGATGCTGGTAGATAGTCCAAATTTGTCTGTGTTGATGAGATATCCACTGGCATTGGATTGTTTCTTTTCTACAGGCAATGGTCGTATTTTCGCTTGGATGAGTTTGGCTGCCATTCTAACAATAGACAGTTTTTCTTGCTCTGGATTCTTTCTTGGTCTTTCATAAAACTCTTGGAGAAGGGTTGCCACTGATCTGGTGAAAGTGAGAACTCTGCTTTTGCCGTTCACTGCTTTTGACTGTAACATTTGCTCCAAAGTGATATAGAACCTTGCTTGTCATGTCAATTGGACTAAAAGCGTCTTCTCGACATAGAGTCACCATCCTTTTTACCAGATCCGAGATGGATACCTATTCCACGTCGTCATCATCAAATTAGAACACATTTAGAACTTTTTGGGCTCCCTGAATCAGTTCCTTTCTTTTTCTTTGGACGGCCAGGTTTTGATTTTCCATGGCATGCTGTGTCAATCTCATTTGGCATTTGTCTTCTTGTGCGAAAATTAACACTGCATTTTTGATGGTACACAGCATCAGCTGCGGGTAAGTCTGCCAATACAGTCTCAAGTCTGTTCATAACATGTTTGGACCAGTCATCATTTCTTCTTACACAGACAGTAACTACTGATTTTTCAAAATCTGTTGTACGAACTGGATACACATCATGTCCTCGTTTCCTCTAATAACGTTTGCAAATTTTCCACAAAACAAACAGTTTTCATTAAAATTGAAGCCATAAGCATGTGACTGTAAAGATGGCGTGTTTTCAGGAGAAGATAATTTGTCAGCCGTGGGAGCCCTGCCAATTAACACGTATCAGAGAGGTACACAGAGTCCGCTGTCTAGACTACCAGTTATCCGACTTCCATTTTTGTGGAAGCCGCGGTGGCTGAGAGGTCTAGACGTCTGACTTTGTGTGCTGACGATTAGGTCCCTGACTCTGAGGTTGTGGGTTCGAATCCCGGATGGGACTTAACCCAAAAGTACTAGAATCTGTACTTTACTAAGAAAGAGTAATCCCAAATATAACATATGTTACATTTGACCACTCACTCTAAAATGGCATTGTGTATTTCAAATCAGAAACAGTGAAACATACAACACTTTGTTTGGTAATTAATCTGAGCGATTTTCCTTGTAAATGGACTATTAGTTTCTGGAATATTTGACTGTATGGTGGCTCAATATTTAACTCTGATTCTGTACACATAATAAATAGTATATTCCAGAATTGTGGTACCAATGTACAAGTGGTGTTACGGACATGTGGCCCTCTTTTCAGCTCTTCCAATGATGTGTGAGGACAGGAAGAAGCGGCATAAGACATAGGATTTACATACATACAAGAACCAGGAACAACGTTTATACTTAAGACCATCGTTAGTTGGCAGTTCAGGTATTCAGTACTAAATATAATGGTGCTGTTGTGCAGAAACTACTCTGAATAGATATAACACATCTTTTATCAGGTTTAAAAACTATGTGAAAGTGGTTGAATATTTAATGTTTGCTGAAAAGGAGAGACAATATTGTCGAATGTCAAATGGGATTAATGTTTTACATCCCCGGACTATTTTCAACAGCAGGCCAAGAATCACGTCTAACACAGTGGAGTTAAAATTTATCAAAAATGCCTTTCTTCAAACTAATTCTACCCCTTTTCCCTCCTCGCCTTTATTCCTTATGTTGTTGTTTTTCCTGTGAAGACATACACATAAAACATGACCTGAACTGATTACCCGTTAGTTAGATCAACCACGTCGCTGGCGTGAACATAAGCCAACGTTAACGATACATGTAGTCGACAATCGCCACATACGAGGGGCGTCCCATAGGTAGTCGGCCTAACTATATTCTCGATTCCCAACTTTATTTTGACGGAATCATTAGCAAAGCCATTCCAAGCTTTCACAGATGTGGGTTATGTGGTCATCACAAAATATGTTCAGCATAGTATTGGATGACTTCCCGTCATGATCAACAGTCAAAGATTTGGATTGCCTGATTTATATTTAGTTGGGGGCTACTTTTTAAGGACACTCCCATTTTAATCTTCCAAAAACTTTGTTTCCAGATATTCAAGCAGGCACTGTTTACAATATATTGAGTGCTGACACTTGTGTGACCATTCAGTATTTAGTTTGAACCCTTGGCATCATGTATGAATAAGTAAAAATATTGGAATAAATAATGTCCTTATGATTACGTCCTCGAAAGGGGTTGGGTAGTGTCTCTACAATACGCTCTTTCAGCAAACGTCATGATGGGACTCACTTGACCAAGCGAAAGTAGTTTCAAATTCCATTTTTATGCACTTAGATAAGTAAGGTTGATTCTAAAGGGCTACTGCCTATCTCAAACACACACAATATTTCTTGCATCTGTTGTTTCAGGAAGTTTGTGATGCATTTATTGCAGATTTGTTTATGTTTTTGTTTATTATTTTATTCATTTAATTATTTTTTTTTTATTTATTTTTAATTTTATTTATTTATCATTTTATCTTCTTCTTTTTTTTTTTTGGGGAGGAGAGGAAAAAGCAAGATAAAGAGTCAGAAAAAATGGTGATGGTGATGCTGGAACATGGCAAAAGCAATTTGCTTGAGATTGACGCATAACATGTAGAAAATTAAAACATAAAAACAGTTGCATTTGTATAATTTTCAAGGTGAGGCCGACTACTTTTGGGCCGACCCTCGTGTTATCGACTATATATGTCTCTATGCAGAAGTTTCATAGGCTACATATATGATAGATGTTTAGATGACTCAGAATATTGTTGAACCAGACACATTAGTAAGATCATATCCGTTATCCCTTCATTTACCCTCGGTTTACGGTAATCAGATCCAATTGATACTTCAACAAGAATGGATGTAGTTTTAAATCTGAGGAAATACAGATTTTAATGAAGACTTTATTCTTCTTGAACACTCAGAAACCAATATTTTTCTTCATCTTATAAATAGCATAGTATGGAATGTAAAACAGATACACTAGTAATAATCTGGTGATAAACAAATATATCCATATGTCACTTCTTGAACATTTTTATTAAACTATTCCATGTATGACGTGTTTTTTATTACCTTATACAAGTACATGCGGCAATTCTATCAACAATTAACTACTGGTCATGATACCAAGTGTTCGCTAAAACGTACCCGTCACAAATATCTGCAAAGTCTAACATGAAGTCACTAGTTCCCCTAAACACATTACCATACAGGTTAAACTGGGGAAATTGTATCAGACATCACTTTTGTTATTGATGCTTCAAAATGTCCATAACGTGTCTACCATAAAACAGTGAAAAAACCTCTGACGTGATTGTTACTACCCTGGTCAATCAACTTTTGAGCAAAAGTAGCGTGACGCACTTTTAAATCTTTAATGGTTTTATTAAACTCTTGAGTTAAAAAGCTTTGGATGAACACATTTGGTAAGCATTTCTCTAGACACTGGTACTTCGAAATTCTGCCTGGACACTGTCGCTGGGTTTTAGGAGTAAATTTTCCACCATTTGACGTGACTACAGTGCTGTTTCATGCAATCCGGGTTTAATATAGTATTACTTTAACACAAAAGACATTTCTCGCCGCTATTAGCTCCCAAATTACTGACGTTAAGCAATATGCATTCATTCACTCACAAAACCCAGAAGATTTAACTGCTGATTCTTGGCCTGCTGTTGAAAATAGTCCGGGGATGTAAAACATTAATCCCATTTGACATTCGACAATATTGTCTCTCCTTTTCAGCGAACATTAAATATTCAACCACTTTCACATAGTTTTTAAACCTGATAAATCATGAGTTAAATATTGAGCCACCATACACCATTATATTTATTACAGAAACCTGACTAGTAACCATTTACAAGTATAAACGTTGCTCAGATTAATTATGCATGTAAACTAAAATGTTGTATGTCCTCACACTCATTTCTGATTTGAAATACAGGCCACATGTCCGTAACACCACTTGTTTGGTACCACAAGTGGAATATACAATTATGTACAGAATCAGAGTTAAATATTGAGCCATTACAGTCAAGTATTCCAGAAACTGATAGTCCATTTAGGAAAATCGCTCAGATTAATTACCAAACAAAGTGTTGTATGTTTCACTGTTTCTGATTTGGGCCATTTTAGAGTGGTGGTCAAAAATGTAACATCCGTTATTGGGATTACTCCACACCCTCAGTAGTCTTTGGGTTGGAATCCCATCCAGTATTCGAACCCACAACCTCAGAGTCAGGGACCTAATCGCCAGCACACAAAGTCAGACGCCTAGACCGCTCAGCCACCGCGGCTTCCACAAAAATGGAAGTCGGGTAACTGGTAGTCTAGACAGCGGACTCTGTGTACCTCTCTGATACGTGTTAATTGGCAGGGCTCCCACGGCTGACAAATTATCTTCTCCTGAAAACACGCCATCTTTACAGTCACATGCTTATGGCTTTAATTTTAATGAAAACTGTTTGTTTTGTGGAAAATTTGCAAACGTTATTAGAGGAAACGAGGACATGATGTGTATCCAGTTCGTACAACAGATTTTGAAAAATCAGTAGTTACTGTCTGTGTAAGAAGAAATGATGACTGGTCCAAACATGTTATGAACAGACTTGAGACTGTATTGGCAGACTTACCCGCAGCTGATGCTGTGTACCATCAAACATGCAGTGTTAATTTTCGCACAAGAAGACAAATGCCAAATGAGATTGACACAGCATGCCATGGGAAATCAACACCTGGCCGTCCAAAGAAAAAGAAAGGAACTGATTCAGGGAGCCCAAAAAGTTCTAAATGTGAACATGCCTTCTTACTAGTAATGAAACAACTTGATAATGACGACGTGGACTAGGTATCCATCTCGGATCTGGTAAAAAGGATAGAGACTGTGTGTCGAGAAGACGCTTTTAGTCCAGTTCACATGAAAAATAAGGTTCTTTATCACTTTGGAGCAAATGTTACAGTCAAAAGCAGTGAACGGCAAAAGCAGTGTTCTCACTTTCACCAGATCAGTGGCAACCCTTCTCCAAGAGTTTTATGAAAGACCAAGACAGAATCCAGAGCAAAAAAAAACTGTCTATTGTTAGAATGGCAGCCAAACTCATCAAAGCGAAAATACGATCATTGCCTGTAGAAAAATGTCATCGGTTCCCAATAGCGCAGATCGGTGCTCATGCTCTAGATCACTGGATTGTCTGCTCCATCTTCGATTATTTACAGACCGCCGCCATATAGCTGGAACATTGCTGAGTACGTCGTAAAACTAAACTCATTCACGTCTTTTAATTCCCCTCATGATGGTTGTATGAGCAGAGAAGAGAGATCTCATCCTTGGTCTAATTAGGGGAAAGCGCACGTGAAATCTCCTGATCCCAAATCATCATCACGAAGACGCTGACATATATATTGTACTGAATCAACTTCAAAAGCAGAAATGATGCATCATGCGAGTAACATCATCAGGTTGAATGCCAGATTGGAATCCACAATCGTAGGTTTCTGTCATCGAGTATATGTTATATTTCTTATTGTTTAACTCCGCAACAATATTCTATGTGTGACATCAGTCTGTAATTAACTTAGTCCAGACCAAACAATCAAGTGATGGACATACTGACTTTCGATCTAACCAACAGGAATACGCTGACATGCATCAACCGACAAGCACAAATTGCTAAAGACAAGTTTCGGGACTCGTTTCGGGACGGTTGGCCCGACCGTGCCCGTCGCTTGCGATACTACGATAAAAAACCCGATAAGACCCCGGGTTATGCGTAAAGCCAATAATATAACTTTAACACAAAAGGCACTTCTCGCCGCTATTGGCTGCCAAATTACTGACGTTATGCAATGTGCATTCATTCACTCACACAACCCGGAAGATTTAACTGCTGAAGCTAATAAACATATATGATGACATATATATATATATTGTGGTGACTCACATCTCGATGTCCCTCACATTAACTATCTGTCGGGGTGTATGAGCTGGATTTGACAATGACGTTGGACGTCACGACATAACTTGATACTTAAATTAGGAAAAATCTCAAGTGAGGCCGGAAATATTTAATACAAAAGAAAAACAATGAGCAAGGAATGGTCCATAAAGAAATATATTGTCAATGCTTCAGCTGTGCAGATCTACCCGTTTGTCAACCACTGTCAACTTCTTCCTTGCCATACCCTTGAAGGTATTCAACGGGCAATTAAAAGTTGGACCAACACGAATGCATGACACGCTTTTATGGATAACAACATCTTGTTTTTCGTTATACGACGTTTCAGAGATAATTCTTGTCCTTCATCAAGGATTTGCTTCCTGTGTATTGTGCTTGCTTGCACTGACGGATGCTGATAAGGGGAATCTAGTATTTATAGACACTTTTAGCAGTTGTTAAGCTGTATTGTCAGTTTAGTTAACTGTATTAGAGTTGAGCTACATGTATAGTTGAGTTACATGTATACTGTGTACAGTAGACTCACACCCTGTGTTTGCCGCTGTTATGTCTGTGTGTAATGTTGTTACGCTTTGGTTTTGTATTTTGACTACGTGTGAATTCGCCTCAGGATTACGACAATATGGGTAAGTGCATCTTATCATTTTGTATTTCACGACGGCAGTGTTCTAAGTCACACGCTGAAAATCGTATTTGGAATTCAAGAACACATGTATAAATATAGTGCATATCTGTGCACAGTAAATCAATCTGTTTAGTTTGTAAACCTGATTGAAAAAAAGACAAACGTTTAGCCATGTTTAGAATTTATACTTGAAGACGTTAGTGCACATCATTGGACAGTAAGTCATATACCTATTTGTACTCCTCACAAAAAAGAAACCCAGAGGAGAAAAGTGTGAAATAGAAGTCCGAATAATTGACATTATTAACCTTAAGATAATTTTTTCGAATTCTGAATGGTCAATAGCCAAAGCATACGAAACCATGTAGGCGGTTTTGCCAGGATGTACGAACTGTACACCCCATCAAATCTGTCACGTCACACTCTACACCGGTTGTACGAATGACCTTGACCTTAGATGGAATGTGGCTGCCAAACGGCTGATCGCTTCGAAATTTTAGAGTTGGCGTATACAATTATGAGTATAAACAGAGTTATAAAATTGTTGCCATAATTTCTTATTTGTTTGTGCCAAAAGAAATTAAAAAAAATAAATTGCTTCTATATTCCACTTGTCCTTTAAAAAAAACTTAAATTCGATCATTTTTATCATAGACTGAGCCATCCCGAGTTATCTCCCTTTTTGACCGTTCAGGAAAAATCATGGCGAAACGTTTTGCGGCTCATTCTGCAGAAGAATAAATGGTTTTTTTTAAAAGATATCCTAAATAAAGAGATCGTAAGCGTAATAAATTCGCCTGAGGCGCACCGTGTAACTAATATTGTTGTTAACGTTTTGGTGCATACCACGGGGAGTTCGATGTCAGTAAAATTCCACAAAAAGTAGTCGAAAGAACATATTTGAAAGAGCAACATCGCCAGACACCATCCCCGTGCAAACTGCAAAGAAACTCAATACATCTGCATGTACTGCACGTGCAACAGCATCCGCATAAAAGGCGGGGATTGTGGTGTCCTGTTGACTGTGATGTCTCGACTCAGTGAAACGCAACAGAACGTCATCTGCCGCCTGAAAGCAGGTGAAAACAGAGCGACCGTAGATCAGATCCGGTAGACAACGTGTTACCAGCTCCGCCCAAGACCGTGACATACTGGTACTTGATAGAATAGAGACACCAACGCAGGCCTCCACGCCAGGCGTGCAGTTCGACGGGTTATCTTGGTGCCAAGTGTATAAGATGTTGCCCCAACAGCGATGCAGATGCGTCCGATTCACCGACGACTCGAGATGGTTGCTGTGCTGATGGAATATGTCGGATATACAGACGCGGAAACCGTTACGAGGAAGTACACAGGTTTAATGATGGAGCGTGATGTTGTGGACTCCCGTCTACTATGCAAAGACCAACAAAGCGTTCAAGGTTCACTGCAATTATTGTCACTTAACTGGTAGTAATACAATTAATGCTATGCACCCATATGTTAATTACTGGAAAGTAAAAAGAGAAACAAAGCCAACCAAATACAAGCAGGTTCTGATTAACAAAGTCAACAAAATAAAGATGGCTGAAAACATTTCCAAGCAATGGCAAATACTTTGGTTGATGTGCTGTTTAAAAACGAGACCAATGGTGAATTCAAACGACTGAATGGAACATCAAAAGGACATACATCTCGAGTCACCATCCAGTTCAAGGGCAGCCAGACTTTCGACAACAATATCAAATGATGCTCTCAAAGTGGATAAGGAATTTGCCTCTTTGGCTTCTTCTTTGGATTAATGGCTTTTTTAAAAAAAGTCAATGTGGGGGTTCCTGAATATAAAAATGCCAAGGTTATATTTTGAACAGTTCACATGATCATTTAGACTGATTTGCTGGATTCGCTAGAACTTGTACCTTGGCCAAATTCAAACAATGAGACTTAAAGTGAACATAGAAAGCTTCGGGTAGGGGTTACAGTACCATTTGAAAAACTGAGTGTTTATTCATCACTGCCATCCACTGACAGAAATGGTAGAGCAAGTGGTGACATTTGCTGGACAAGTAGCCAAAGTGTCTAATGTGGGCTGTTCAACAACAACCAAAATCAAAACTTCCTTGCATGAATATGTTCTTGGTATTTTTAAAAATAACATACTGTCAATGTCCTTATTCACATTCACGTCTTTGTCTTCAGGATTAACGTGATAGCAACACGTACCTACTTTCGTGTGTACTCCTCTACAAGCTGTGGGTTTCTTTGGATTGGTCGATGTTCAAGATACAGGTGAGATTTTACATTCATACTTTTAATGCATACATTTTGTTTTAAATGGCACTATTTGTGTACATCTTGTATGCTACTTGTAAGTGTTGCACTGGAAGTTTCGATAATCTTCAGAGTAACTGTCCCATAATAAGATACATGTACATGTGCGTGAAATGGCCAAGACAATTAAGTAAGTATAAAGTACACCAGTACAAAACGCAAGTATGTGTTTGATCACAAAAGAACGGGTTTTACAAATATACAGCCACTGCATTGGAAAATCGTTGATCAACGTATTCTTAATGTCATATGCCCGATTTACAACAAAAGCAATTATGTATAATATTATATCCATGATGTTCTGTATGCGTATCAAATCGTACTTGCTTTCCAGTCGACAGTCACGGCTGACTTTCCAGTGCAAGCCAGGGTACAGATCAGATGATAACATAGGATGTCCACACAGTGAGTTCTGTGTTCTCTTCCCCAACTCTACTGACAGACATCAACGTATTGTATTAACACTGTCTAATTCACTTTCACAATCCCTTAGAACATACAAAACTTATAGAACTACATACTTTCAGTAGCACATGCTATAAGGTTACCGTAAAAAGAATATATCAAAACGTCAATTTGACCAAAAATCGACTTCACACATTGCATATATAGTATGCATTTGTGGGGATCGATTCCAAGGCGAGTGAATGCTCTAGTTATAAGGAAACTCCATCGAACAACGGTAGACATAGATTATCATCAATGATATCCGAGATAGTGTCAATGAACTTAATACAAAGAGTGATCATATACTCAAAGGAAAAAGTTGGTATTATTGTATTTGTGTTGTTTAACACCGCACTCAGCAATATCCCGCTTATATGACGGCGGTCTTTAAACAATCGTGTCGGGACCATACAATCTAGTGATCAGCAGCATGAGCATCAATTTGCTATAAAATGGGATATGAAGACATGAGTCTACCAAGTCGGCAACCCTAACCACTCAATTTATAATTAGTTAGACACCTCTTTCGATAAGTATGGATTGCTGAAGACCAATTCTAACTCTTCACGGGCAAAGGTTAGTATCACACACAAACAAAAACAGTCCGTTCTGCGAATGACTGTTATCATATGGAAACATAAACTTTCAAGGAATGGTAGCAATCAACAGTCCATTCATCTGACATAAGCAAATGAATCACAACGCAAGAGCGGCTTCACAATAAAGTTAACCATTTCACTTGGGAATGTGTCCACCTTGTGCACTGATGTAGGCCTGGCACCTTTGCTAGACAGTGAACGATGGGCAAAACCATTACATATTCGAGGATGGATTAGACCAATTTCGTGCAGCGTTGTTGGGAATTCAGATGATGTAGTAAACGTCTCTCCATCTCATCGAAGACGTGTCAGCTGGGTGGTAAATCAGGAAATCTTTAGGGCCTGAATAACTCGTTTTCATTACATTTCCGACTCAGACAATTATGTGCAAATCGGACAATGTGTTATGTTGAAATGTCTCCCCAGGGTCTTATTGTTGCACAAACAGTAAAGTGGTCATTTGCAAAATCGGTAAAATGTTTACTTGTGCGCCTGAAGACATGTATTCGGTGAAGGAGGAAACGTAACCGATAAGATGAAAGAACACCTCTCCACTCAAGTGCACGCCATGTTAAGTCATGTCTACCCCACCAGAGACGTTGACTCCAATGTTCTGGGGTCGGAATTGGTCGTCGGACTGGATGTCTTCATGGATGACAAGGACTCGTAGCTGTCGTCAAACTGTTCTCGCAGATACACCTCTGTTGCCAGGTTTGGTATAGGCTTTAATAGTTTATTTTTGGAACCCGTGGCAGAAGTGTATGGTTCGAATCCATCGATCTTGACGTGGGGTCTTTGTTATTGAGGCAGACGGGGGCAGTCTTTACCTTGACTGTTTGGCTGAATACGTCGCCATAGGTGCTAAACGGTGTTTTGTTGATGCTCAATCGACGAACAATGTCACGTTGCCACGTACCAGGCTAGATCATACCTATTATAGCTCAACATCTGTCAATTACTGCAGCGCTTGAAATGTCGAACTTGTTAAAGAACGATGAATAGAGGTGTTTTCCTCACTTCAGTACTTCATAAGACTGCATTGAGGGGAAATGTTACTCTGGTCTTTCTAAGAGGCCCTTTTTCTCGATGTCATGCTTCTTGCAAATTTCGTGCAGCTCGAACAAATGCTTCGTTGCGTTTGCTCGACCACTTTAACACACCTCAGTTCAAATCCAAAAATTCATAACTTTTCGTAGCTTTTTCCTCTGAGTATACTTGACTACAGCGAAATAATTATTCAACTAGTCGGACTTTGGCCCTCACACAACAAAGGCAGTCCTGGTGTGCCGGCTTTTCCGGTGATACAATTAGTTGTCACAAATATATGTTATCATCATTGAACAGAACAACCTGGACTTCCTTCTTCGCGGGTTGAGTCGTAACTCATCTTATACACGCTGTGACCACAGCCTCATTTACAATTTGTTCATCTGTTTATCTGATCTCTTTACTTCCTTGTTTAATACCCGTACTGTACAAGAAACTCATAAACTATTGTTCGCTCGTTGCTCTAGTTTAATCTAGACTAGGCAAACCAGTGCTGGATGTCATAGTCAACATCGCACGCCCCCTGGATAACACACAAACACGAAGGAGTTGTCTTTATGAAATGTGTGACATTCTGGTGCCTCAATATATCCAGAAATTACGACACCACACAACGGAAATGAAGCGGATGTCTCGGAAATGAAGCGAACGTTTCGAGTGTGACAGTTTATTGTGTTAAATGTTGACGCGTCACATATTTGTGACAAAGCCTTTTCCTTAACAACAGACAAAAGAGGTGGCATGAGCAAACCGATTCATTTCCTGAAAACAATAGCGTGGCTAATTAAAGTAACTCTCCGACGAATAGTCGGATGCAACTTGGTCTGATGCAATGATGCATAAAGATTCTAAATGTTATGTCGCAATTTGATCTTGAAAATATATATTTTCATTACCTTATTTCATTTATTGGTCTGTGTAATAGTGGGATATTATCCCAACCAACTGAACGGTCGGTGTTTTCATTGCTTTATTCAGTATATATTGAATCTGTGTAATAATTGCTCCCTTCTGCTATCTGGACTTTCAGGCGTCTGGTCATCGACTGATCTGTGATCAATCAGGGGTATTGCTCATTTTGTGATTCTTTTCTCCTATCCTTCGATAGGCTTGACGAACTCTATATCGATATATAATTAACATTTTGGCTAATGATTTCTGATGAACTTTGAAAATATGTTGTTGTGACCGTCTCCAGAGTGCAGGACCATCAGCAACTGCCAAACAGAGGCATGTACCACAAGTCGGGACCAGATGTGTTCACTCTGTGACGGAGTCGTGTCTCACGTGCCGGGACACAGAGCATATCTACTTACCTCAAACAAGAAATCATGTACACGTATGTTGCATGTGTGTCATCTCTGTTGCTACGTTTTAATGCTGACATCCTGCTCATTAAAGAATAACGCATACATCAAACTGCCCAACTCCGTTTCACTTGTTCCATGTCCCATTTAAATGTGTTTCTTAAAGGAATGGCTCTGATCGTTTTCTTATAGCTATATAATTCTCTTTTTTTAAATAGGAGTAGTAAACATGTTCCGTTTTCAGAGACCTGTTCCTGGCGTAGTGACAGTACCAGATGTTATCCAGGAACCTGCAAGGGAGAGTATGCTAGCAGCTGTTCCTGTTCAAGTGGCTTCACTGGACAACACTGCCAGACAAGTAAGTAATAACCTGATGGAAGTGCGTCGGACTGTTTTGCATGTCATGACAAATTCAGTACTTCAACATTATTCAGTACAAGTTCAAGTCTTTTCATGCCAATACTAATTTACCTTCCAGTAACAACAGAACCGACGATAAACTCCAACGTCTTTCGTTTGACCACCAGCAATGGGAACACAGCCAGGGAACCTTCCATCATCAACAGTGGCCAAATTCAGTCCACCACCTGGTCAAACATCAGGTCTCCATCCAGAATGTACTACAAGTTTACGGCAAAATACCAAATGGTACCTCCATCCAGACATGCCTTCATTGAAGACTTCCGTGTTGGAATTGTCGGCGGCTCCGCATCATTCAAACTGAAAAGACGTACGTCATCAACTACCTCTCAGAATATCATCCACATACACATTACATAGAAGTTTGTATTTATGATCTTAATGTATTTACACGTGCACGTTGACTTATTGAATCTTTTTTCATACAGGGCGGCGTGTTGTTTCAACCAAGGTGTCTGTCTGTGGAGGAGCCAGTCAAAGCAGCCCGGAGACAGACCTGTTTACCTGTGAAGGAAACCGATCAGTGACGTCTGTACTTACTCTACCCTTCCAAGACAAAGACGTGTTAGTAGAGGCCTAATTATAAACCAGAAAATAGCGGAGAGGCGTATAATTCGGTTTTATTGCACTTTGTAAAATGTTATGGGTGATTGATAAGGGGTCTAGATATGTTTAAATCAATCAAAACTACAAAGACATGGAACGGTTTGGTAGTTGAGATTATAGCACAGGCTCCAAATAAAACCCTAGCAGCATAATTAAATTTGCATCGTATAGATATTGTTCTTCCACAGTATTGTGGTTTCCTACAAGGCGACCAACGGTGGATATGTTAAAGTCCGCAACAAAGAGACAAAGAACCTTGCGACCTTCTACTACAGCGGTGCATCACAGACCCGTACATTTACTATGACCATTGACCTGGTGCTTCCCTATCACTGTACGGGTAGTTCTACCTGTGTTGGCAGCATGTTGACAGCTCCAAATGCTATCACAACAGTAGGTATTTGACAAGTTACCTTTTATGCGAACACATACACTCTCTTAAACCGTACAATGCATCTCTAAAAGTACATACCATCATTCTTGCAGTCCACATTGAACCTCCGCTGGAGTGGCTGGTCGGATACTGATGCAGGAGTCGACCACTTTGTGAGGGATGTGTATGAACTCCACGCTGTTGGGGATGTACTCAGAGATAAACGTCGGATAGACAAAAGGTCTTTTACAAGCTCCAAGGTGAATGATTGTTTTCATACTTGTGATATTGGTTATTTTAAATCTGATGAAAGAATTGTGAAAGGATCTTTGATGTGCAGTATAGTAGCATATCATGCGTCAGTGACTAATCTCGTAATTTCTTAAACGTGAAGAACAATAAGAACACATCATTGACTTCTGCATAGTGAGACCTACTATTATTCTGCAAGATGTCCCCTTAGTCGTTCCAGAATCTGATGACTGTTGGTTCCAACCTCAAAGTATACCGTAGTATGATTTATCCTTGTTAAAACAGAACTCCTACACTTATCTGGGACCCCGAAGTATTGTTTTAGGGTGTTAATTTTCGTTTTTGTTTGTCAGACCAGCGACAAGTTCAGAGTCTCCAAACCCGGGGTGTTTTCTGTAATCTTGTCTGTCTATGACAAGGCAGGTAATTACAGACGTACTCGACGAATTGTGGTGTATGATGGTACTTCAACTGTAACAACTCGGGCTAATAAAAAACTACGTGTGATGACAGCATCGGCCGCAGCGTCAGCGTGGCAAACGACCTCATCTGCAGTGACCGTAGACTGGACCAACAGATACATCAACACAGTCCACCACAACAACAAGTGGCTCCTTGGTGTGGCTTCACTGGGTGACATCAGTTCGGACTATGATGATAACGAGGGAAGCAGAGGTATAGGTGAAGTCAGAAATGTTCAAGGTATGTGGTGAACTAGAATTCAAGACATATCAATGATGTGTTCTAATGTTAAATAGAATCATGTCGTGGCATAAACGTTAATGAGTGAAGCTTTCACTTCATAAAATGCGAAACTTGATAACTGCGAGATTACATATTCGGGATTTTTCTAGGAATCACACGTTTCCGAACATCTTACAAAGTCGACCACCAAGGAGGGTCGTCCATCACCAGTCCACCTGCTGATAACCTGTTCACCAGTCAAGGTTTGAATCAGTCAGAGACCATTACACACAGACTATTAGACGGGGACACTGTTCGTTTCTGGGTACGAGCCTATGACATCATGTTGGACATGACAGAAGAACATGTGACAGTCCACATCGACACATCACCTCCAATCATGGAGAACCTTTGGCTAACCAGGAGCGGCAGTCTCAACATCAGTGTACATCGGGTAGAGGAACTTCATGACGTAATGTGAGAACGTGTTTAGTAGTTCTGCTATTTCGCAAGTCGGTTTTTAAAATTTCGTCTTCAATAATTTCAGCAAGATTATACACACGGGTTTATGCTGAAGGTTTTGGCATTGTGCAGAGTGAAATATACCAGAAATACAATGAGGTGAAAACAAATTATATTCATGAACATTCTGCCGTAAGGTTTCGAAACACTTTATCAAGCATGTCTGTATCTGATTCTAGAATGGAGTTTGATGTGCACGATGAACACAGTGGAGTGGAAAAGGTGGAATGGAGAGTCGTAAAAAAACAACAAGACGAGGACATTGTGTTAGCTGTACATGACATCTCTATTCAAAGCCACCGGGTATGTCACTGTTTTAAATTCATGTCCAGAGGTTAATGGTACAATCAGTAACCAACAGAACGAACCTTGGATATCACCCAACTCTCCTCAACATTCTTATTTAGAACAACTGTATCCAAAAAGGAAGTAATTACTTTAACGTCATTATATATGCTTGAATTAATGAATGATTTCAGACTCTGGATGACTGCAACATCATGCGTGATGCAAGAGATGGTAACTGTTATTGTACTCCAGCTGGCACATGTTATCATCCCCACTTCCAAGTAAAACCAGCCCTGGCAGACATAAGAGACGTCAAGTTGGCTGAAGGAAGGGAATATTGGTTTCAAGTCACAGCTGCAAATCATGCTAAACTCAAAAGTGAACAGGAAGTAAAGGTATAATTGTCTTGCTTGTATATAACACACCCCATGTGACAATGTTAAACTAACGATTATTAACTTGACTGGAGTAACGCCTAACCTAACCCCCATTCGTGATTTTGAAAAACAAGGACAAAAGACCGACTGAGTTTAGAGCATTCACAAGGTAAATCACACTTAGGGATGATATATTAATATTAAGAAAACAACTAAGCTCACGTTAATGTTTTAAGCAGACAGTTACACGTTCAACTCTGGCCGTTGACAGACAAAACTAAATAGCCACAAGTTAGCAACCAATCAGGACGATTGTACAACTGACCCTGACATACACAGAAACTATTACATCGTACAGAGTTAAACAACTATCCCTACGACAGTCTCACTAGGTATGTATTCGTCACTTGGACAGTCGCGTTAGGTTTGAAACATTTTTCACCCGATATCCTAAACCACTGACTGATGATAGTATAAGACATGTGTGGGCGAAAGGATTTATACAATTTGTCATACATATTGCTGTAGAACGGCAGTGGGGACATATGTGTGAAATCCAGGTTTTGATTGTGAATTAATGTAAAATGTCGAATTAATGTGACGATGTAAAGTTCTCTGAGAACGCATTCTGGGCTGTGTAAACATATCCTTAAATGGAATGATAGACTGGTGAAACTGAACATTCACTGTTTAGATCCAAATGGATGCAAGCCCCCCTCATCCAGGCGTCGTCGACGATGGTCTGTCTGGACAACCGGAAGTAGACTCTCAGAACAGTCTACAGCTCCACGCCCACTGGGAAGGATTCTTTGACAGAGAGTGCAATTGCCTTCTACCAGTACACGTTCGGACCAAGATGTCTTCAGGGACACGAGTTCGACCTCAACAAAACCCAAAACGTCAGTCCTTTGTTGTTTGGTAGTAAATAGTGCAGCCTTATTAATAACGTTAACATAGAAATATTTCTTAGCGGTTAAGGAAAACCGAATTTATTGCCATAATAGCATTTAAGTTTGTTTGTCAGCTGTGAAGGTCCACAACGAGTATTACTATCGTGTCCGCATTGGTCTAGCGCAATTTGGATGACGTGCATCAACCAATCAGCGGTCTGACCACACGATCAGACAAGCGTTGGCTGCTGAAGACCAATAATCTAACCCTGATCTCATTGTTAGATTGTGACAATGGTTGCCGTATTCACAACGTTAACATATAAAGAATACTTTATGAATAATTCTTTCAAAATTTCATTTCCTTCAGTAGTAAGTGTAATGCTGCCATATGCCCACTCTAAGAGTACATAACGAGTATTACTATGGTGTTAATTCTCTGATGGCAGATGAAATCAACACGCACTACTGAAGTCACATGGACAGCACCGTCTTGTGGAACGTTTTACATAACTGTGGTCGCCTATAATGGAGCTCAGCAGAGAAGCGATGCGGTTTGTACAGATGGAGTGGAGACGTGCAAACCCTCTCCTATCTTCAGTAAATCAGAAGGTAAAACCGCCCTGCTTTTTACAGTTCTTGTCGTCATCATGTTCATCATCTTAAATAAATGTAGCAAAGAGGGTTCGCTTGGTCCTGGCACTGAGGCTGGTTTGGTTCATCATTAGCTCAGGGCCCTTGTCCCCTTTACATTGACCAAGTTGAACCTAAGGCCTTTCAGAGAAAGTGTACATTCCATAATACTGAAGCTTTCTTCCAAAGTGTGTCACTAACAGCAAACTCTTAATTTTGTAAACAGCTTATAACTCAACGTGTACAAGGCTTAAATAGCACATAGCACAAGACTTAAATAGCACATTTCGATTGTTCAAGGGATCGTAATCAAAGTTGAATATGCTTTAAATGTACTATTTTAAAAGTAGGGCATATTCAAGTAGGGTGAGATTCTTTAGGAACCAAGTTGCATGATTGTATATGGATTTAGAACATGTTTTTTTCCATTCACAACGTGTTATGAATGTCAAGGAAATAATGCAAGAGTTTTCCATCTTGTGCTCGTGAACATCGTCTGGGTAAAATTCGAAATGAAACGTGTCAGTGTGGTGTTGTACATTTCAGTGACATAAACCAGATTGAAGGTTGTCCTGAGATTGTTTTATACTCAGTGTAACGTATTATGATATGCGACGTCTGTCACGCCAGGAACGCCCTCGTGGAAGACAGAGCATTGTGACAACAGCTCTTAACGTTTCAGGCAGTAATTAGAAGATTATAATCCTATATCGATAGACAGATAACGTCAACTGCGCACAATACCATTTCATCAGAACAACTATGTTACTAAATCGTGTCAAAGTGCTTCTCAAATTAGAGATGAGCTTCACACAGCTAAAGGTGTTACAGTGAATGGACGGACTCATCCTTCATAGGAAGTTACACAAATGTAACCTGCAAGCTCGACGTCCACGTGTTATCCCACGACTGACGGACCGTCTCCTTACTGTACTTCTTGTTGATGTCAAGAGCGACAGAGCTGGAACAGTCGTCGTTGGACAAACGTTAGATTTTTGGATGAAACAAGTTTTACTTTGGACTTCTTTGACAGGCGCAAGTGCGTGTGGCCTATACAGGTTGGACGTGTTGTGGTTTTTCTCAGTAATGGTGTGGGGTGGGTTTAAGGTGACTGGCAGAAGACACGTTATTCACAGACGTGTTGATCGGCTGTACTGCCGTGACAACATCACACGTGGTGGCATTTGCGCGTCGACGTTGTTCTATGTGTCAGGATAACAACGCAAGAGCACACGGGACGCGTAGTTTTACTGAGTACCTCCAGCAGTAGAATATTGACAACTTACTGTTTCCAGCACTCAGACCTAATGACACATCTGGGATATCCGTCACCGTCAACAGCCGCCGACCACTCGAACCTGACACTGCCTGCAGGAAGAATCGAATGGAATGAAGCAGGTTGAAATAAGATGTTTCAATGGGAGTTTGCCTCGTCAAATCTTGAGATTAGCCACGGATTCTCGCGATATTAATAAGTTTGACGTGTCATTGTAAATGACAGGGAATATAATAGGGCGCCCAGGCCGATCATCTAACAAAATCTATGAAAATATTTATCGCATAATAGATTTAAAATATCAACAGTTATATACACAAAGAACTTAGTTCAGTACTCCCTAACACGATTGAATGAGACCCACTCTTAACCATTTTGAGATCTATAGCCAGTTTTTTATATTGTATTGTCTAAATAGAGCTATCAGTTTTAACTTTCCACACTAGTTTTAGCTGTAAGTGTGATATTCTAGTTGTTTTACTGTCCTTCGTCGACAGATTTTTGTAATATACATATCTTCCATTTCAATGTCACATATGTTCTCGTCACGATATGGCTGAAATATTGCCGATGTGACGTTAAATATTAACTCACTCACTCACTTAACCATTTGGAGCATATCTGGGACATTATTGGTCGTCGTGTGCGACAAAGGGATCCTCCTCTACATAACCTTGCCCAACTTGAAGCTGCTTTACACGAGGAATGGCGTAGACGGCCCATTCAGAGGATCATGAGGCTGACAAGGGGGATGAGGAGGAGAGTGCTGGCTGTCATACAGTCACATGTCGGTTACACTTGGTATTGACCTTGAATCGTGTACGACACGCAAGATAACATTTTGAATCTTCACATTCACCAAACACTTCAACATTAAACATTCCAGGGCAATATTTGTACAGACATGGTTCTGTATGAAAATCAGTGTTGTTTTCTTTACATGAGCAATTATCATCATAAAACCAACATGGATTACAATATTTTTGTCGTTTTTTTATGAGTCAAAGGATCATACGGCTAAAACAAATCATGTTTTCCCATCGTAGTCACCATGAGAGGTGTTATGTACGTGTTGAAAACCTATCATTGCAAAAGGGGGTGCTTAATTAAGTACTTTATGTACATATCACCAATTGCGTTGATAGTGTGTTGGATGTTACAGTCTAAAAATCTAGTGCATTAAATTCAGTTTAACTCAACGTTGAGGTCTGCATTCATAAAAGGCTTAGAAAGTTCCATCCGTATCTAAAATAATATTTTACGGAAGATTTCAAAACTGTTAAAAGAAGTATTTTCTTCATAATGCAAGGTGCTAAGGTATTAATGACATTATGTAGATTGAGGAGAGAGGAAACTTCATGGCAATGACAAATTCTCTAAACATATTTCGTGTTGGAATTAAGCCTGAGGTGTCTTTAACAAGCTACAAGATGCACTCACGTCAATGATGAAAAGGTTTAAACCAGGCGTGAATTTTATTATCAATATTATTCCTTTATATTATTTAATTGTTTTTAGAAAAATCGGCTTTCTAGATCTTATGTACATATTTTACTCAGACGTGCCAAAATATGTTTGTTGTAAATTCAACTGTTTATATACATCATCAGTGTCTTTACTGAAGATTTTACGATCATTTCAGTGTACTGATTGACGTTCATAACTTTTCATAACTACATAACATTGAATCAAAACAAATAACATCCTTACTCATACACTGCAATAATACTGTTACTATTTACAAACATTAATACAACAAACAAAAATAAACAATTTTATTTCTTTTCACCGGTACATGTTTTCCAGTAAATACATAGTTCATAGTTCAATACACATGTTATCTAAACAAAGTGGGTATGACAATTCAGTAGCTGATAGTTATGACTTTTACAGGTGATGTATTGTTCAGGTAAATAGGCAATGACATATTGACCAATATTTCATGAATTTGATGTAATCACAAGTAAGCGATGAGATATATAGAGAATACTACACGAGGTCTCATTACATACGAATTATACGAAACGAGTGTCCTTCCTATGGTATCTGACCGAGCGAAAGCGAGGTCAGATAACATAGGAAGGTCACGAGTTTAAACAGCGACACGACAACGTTCGCAATGTTTACATTCCCACAATGCATTTAAGTTGTAGAATGAATGAATTCACGTGTTTGTTATGAATGAAAAAATAGTTACGTCAGAATTTGACCTAATTGAGAGGTCATCGGTGCTCCAATCAAATCGTTAGAATTTCAGGTCAAGTCGTTACGACACAGGTCAACGCGATACGACACTCGAGATTAATATGTAACTACCCATACGTTGACCACGTGGGTAATAAATATGTCTATATGATATGTATTGGTTATATCTCTTTGATATACTTGAAACGTGGTGGTTGTTTCGAGAGTTTGCATTTAAAAATGTTGAATTTTTTTGTATTTCTAATCAGATTTACATCATTTCACTTTTCATAGTAGCCAAACAGGATATGTTGTTTGGTAAAATCTAGTTTTATGCCTGTTTTCTCCTCGATTCAATCTTCTAGTTCTCTCCAGATATGGCTAACTTTCTACATTTGTAAAAGAGGTTTGTTATTGATTCAATGTCAATTTTGCATAAGTCACATTTGCTATTATTCGTATATTTCATTTTATATAGGAGGTCGTTTGTGGGTAGTATTCTGTAAATGATGTTGTGTTGAAACCATTGTAGTTTGCTGTTTGCATGTGTGCGGAAGGGTATATAATGTATGGTTTTCCATTCCTGTTCTGTCAGGGTACATCTGAGAATGTTCTCCCATAATACAACAATTTATTATTGACAATACCGGTCTCACCCCAGGAATGATGCGTTATGTTAAACTCATATTCGCTGCCCTGCTCGTTAAACTGTCGTCGGAATTGGGATACCTCTTTTATCAGACAGTATTTGCATTGGTGATTAATCAGGTTGGAAATTTGTTGTCATTTTGACTTTATGAATTTGTAATGTGTATATCATATCATTCTGAACACCAAGTTATAGGATTTTTAATATCGCCATATATTCCTTCAGGTAACTCAATGGTCGGGAAAAACCTTGTACTAGTGCTGTCGGCTACTGCGTCAGCTGTGGTTGCAGTTGCAGTTGCTGGCATCGTCGTTGGAGTTGTTGTCTGGAAGAGGAAACGAAGGTACTGCATTCTGTTGAAATGCCTCCAATAAAACCTTAGTGTTATCCATCGGGTGCGATTAACTGGATATCATGATCAGACACAAGATGCAAATTCATTACGATGTCACTTCGTGGGGTTATCTTTTAGCTATCTACATCTTTGCAATGTCTGCCGGTTCAATACAATGACTAACCCCCAATATGTTTAGATAGGATATTTGTAATTCTGTGCCAAACATGGCTACTAATCTTTAGGCAATATATACTCAGCAGCAAAAACAACGTCAGTACAAATTCAAAATTAGATAGGCACTGTAATCAAATCATTACAGAAATGGATATAATAAGCGGATCAAACACATTTTTTTGTGTACAATATCTTAACACATCAATGAATAACAATTTCAAGACATTACGTGAACGTTTGCAGTCCATTCAGACTCTTGACTTCAGTATCTAGTGTGACCACCACGAGCGGCAATAACTGCAGCACAGCGTCTATGCATGGAGGGCACCAATCGATTGATAAAGGCCATTGGCACCTGGAACCACACTCTGAGAAAGGCCTAGCGCAATAAATCGGCTCTGTTCGTCCTTGGTATGACATTATTCAGTCTCCTCTGAATTTCATCCCAAAGATGTTCAATTGGGTTTGAAACAGGACTAAGGGCTGGCCCTGCATAATGTTGATACCCATCTGCTGTACGATCCCGTGTAGCGCTGGCAGTGTGGGCCCGGGCGTTATCCTGCTGGGAAATGTTGTTCCGGTGAAGTGCGAAATGTGGTATGACGTGGGGTCTGAGAGCTTGGTCGATGTAGCGCACCGCTGTGATGCCGCCTCCTCTCCCTCGACCAAGGTTCTGGAACACCGCAGGACCCACTCTCTGGTTCAGGCCTATTCCATCCCATACCATGAGGCTTGCACCTCGCCATGAGTCTCTTTCCATAACACATTGGTCTGAGTAAGGCTGGCCACGTCATCGCCATATTCTTGTTCTGCCATCTGCAGTTGATACGCAGTACCGACTCTGATCTGTGAACAGAACAGTTCTCCATTGCCTGTATCGCCAGTTTTGCTGTTGTATGGCAAACTGTAGACGTTCACGCCGATGACGAGGGGTTAGGATATGTCCACTGCAATGGAGGTCTACTGCAATGGAGGTTCCTGCTGTTAAGACGTCGGCGTACTGTATCAGTACTGATTGTTCTTCCGTGTGTTCCCACTGTCTGGTGTGCTGTTTCGGATGCCTGCATGAACGGATTCTGTACATGCTGTTGCACAACATGGCGGTATTGTCGTCTTGTGGTCACCCTTGGTCTGCCAGTACGTGGTGTTGGTGGCCCGGAAACGTTGCTGCAGCCTGTAGATGGTCCGAACGTTGACCTGGAAGTGATTGGCAACGGCTTCTGCAGTGTGGACAGCTACAAGTCTTCCTAGCGCCTGGTTCCTCTCAGCTGTCGTGAGTCGCGGCATCCTGGTGACGTTGTAATGTGAATGTTTCAACCAGGTTTGGGGTGCATTTTATAGGGCTGGTCCTTGTGAACAGCACGTGCAGCATGAGTTGCATGAAAAACATGGAGAACACCGTGCCATCTCCGAGATCAGGTTGCGTTTTTGAAACCATTTCCTGGATTCCATTCTGAGTTTGGGAAGGAATATCTTTGCTCAGGTAAAGTTGGAGATGTTGTCAAAAATATACAATCAAAACATTTACAGTTATCCGTTTCTGCGGAGGAAAATTCCAAACTGACGTTTCTTTTGCTGCTTAGTATATTTAATTATGTAGTCATACGAAGTTTCTGTAGTGAGGTTTTGAGTAAAATTACAGCTGAAACATGTCACCTCAGCTATTTAGTGTTACACCTTGGGCATAATGTGCCTGTGTTCGTGAGAGTCCCTTCATGTGCATGTATTGATGTTTTTTTATCATTTACAGAGGTAACCCGGAGACTTCTGATCAAGCTGTGTACTACAACACAGGGTCATCTAAAAATGATAAACCTAAGAAGAAAAAACTGGGAGACAAAAGGATTAAACCTGAAGCGAAGGCGTATGACCCGCTAGACGTAAACACACGGGAAACAGTCCCGGAGGAAGAACCATACTGTTCTATACAGACCTCTGGGTCGGACGAAACAGACCTGTATGAACCCGTTGGAATGTGAGATATATGTTTACAGTGGCGAACCAGACCCTGTTACGTCCAACAGTACATCAGATGCCTTATATGAAGAAATCTGAAAGCTAAATGAACTGACACACACACGTGACCAAGCTATCCAGACCAAGCGATCTAGTAAAGCCAGATTTGGTGCCTTTAACCAGCCTGTCCTACATTACAGTATCTGAAACAAAGATTTACTATGATCAGTGTCCATTCATCTGTTTGATAGAATAGCAACATATCTCTCTCTTCTGTCAGTATTCGGGAAGCAATTCTTCCAACATCCTCGTGTATTCTTTATTGTGAATATTTTTCGCTCCTTAAAAGCAGCAGCATTTGCACTTATATATCGCAATAACGATGAAATGAGGTAACAGGGAAATGCTTATTTGTCAAGTGTTCAAACTTAAGTACCAGGGCCCCTTTTCACAATCCTCTCATAAGCCTAAAATCTCGTAACTGTTCTCGTAGCATTTGTACTTCCTATACTGTAACATTGACTTACATAGTTGTAGCGCTACGAGAGCTTTGTGAAACAGGACCCAGGTGTAAGTCCTGAGGCCAAGATTTAAATTGTGCAACATTTTTGCGCATATTTTGACATATGTAGCCCGTACTGTCAACAGCAAAATAGTTTTGTTGTTGTTGAAGCTGTTCACTTGAGGTCATTAACATGCTTGTTGTTTAACACCGCACTCAGCAATATCCCAGCTATATCGCGGCGGTCTGTAGTTAATCGAGTGTGGACAAGACAATCCAGTGAACAAAGGCGTGGGCATCGATCTCCGATGACATGATTGTGTCAACCAAATCAGCAAGTCTGACCTCCCGACCCCAACAGCCGCCCCTTACGACAAGCATGGGTTACTGATGACCAATTCTAACCCAGATCTTCGCGGGTCTCATTAAAATTTACTTTCTTGTGATAATAACATATGATATGATAAATAACCCATCCTTATTTTGATGTCATGGAAACAGGATACTAAATAGAAATGAAATGTTTTTACAGATATGGCACTATTGACTTTGAAGTGAGAACATATAATATTATAAATACATGCGTCTATAAATTAAACGTTTCTAACCATATATATTTGTATTTGGTAAATTATGATTATTCACTCATGCTTTCTGCTTCGTTTCACTGCTGTTTCATGTCTATTAACCAAAATACGAATAGCTCCATGCTTTAATACCATTGCGAAAGTGAGATATTTATGACTTCTATTGCATAAAATGCAAATCACAGCTCTGAAATTCTTCAGTTGCTAAAATCTCTACCTTAATACACAGTAAACTATGATGGGACACGATTTTTACCCTCTCATCACTCGTTTCTTATATTGTTATATTTCTTTATTGTCATATTGTCATCTTATCTGTCAGTTGTCACAACCCATTGCTATGTTTCCATAAAACATATTTGGCCTCTTTCCCATCAGCTCCATTAGTTTGCTTGTTTTGTTTCTTTGAGAAAATAAAACTGTTCTGAACTATATTTGTATTCTGAATATTAAATATTTAGTTCCAGTCATGGGGGGCGGTGGGGTAGCTTCAATTGCTAAAATCTATAAATTAGTTTACAATTAACTATGAGGCGACACAATATGTTCCCTCTCCTCACAACTCGTCGTCCTCAGAACGTTGCCAAACTCAACAGTCCATCATTTGTGTTCTGTGACACCCTGTGGGACAGTTTTATGAAATTTTTATAATCAGGGTGTAAGATGAACAACATTTCCATATTATCCTTGTCGTACAACTGTGATTTGATTTTGCGTTATCCTGTGTAGAACACGGCCAACTTGCTCAAAGGAACCATAACGCTGCGATGGTCGTAGCCCCCATACTCTAACAGACACAGGATAGTCGTAGCACTAAGATCGCTTTGTGCAAGTGGGCCCAGGAAAATATTGATGACATGAAATACATACACGAAAAACATGCAAACTAATTCCTTCCTTTCGAAAGGTGGCTTTGTTTTCTAGTAGTGTTATCAAAGTTTAAGGAATATGTTTAAATCACGTTGTCCAGTGTTATTTATTCATGACTGCTTGTCAGTCCCAATCTTACCCAGTCCTTCACAGACGATCTCGAAGGAGTTCAGATTTCCCATGGAGGCGACACTTGTCATCGACTTTTCACACAAAGACATGTACACAAAGAAAGTGTTTAATGTTCACTGGACATCATTTGAGGCAACTCTTCACGTGAACGATGAGGAATTCATTTTTTGAGAAGCAAGATAAACTAGAAAACAGAAAGTTCCCAAGCGCAAGATGTGGTGTATTGTACCAATTTGCTACACTGTGAATTCCTTACACTTCCTGTACTGATTTTTCCATCGCAAGGGATAAATATTTCAGTGTCAAAAGCATAAAGGATCTTTTCATAGTATTAATTATAATTAAATAATTGTGTTTTGAAAAGAAACAGAATGTCAGAAAATATTTGAATAATATGTTTTGCAAATAGATCGATGACATTTTAAAATTGGTAAATTAAATTAGTAACTACGATTGTTAGTGCCTGTGAAAAAAGGGGTTAAAGTACTGGAAAATCATTGTCCTTCTGAGAGGATATGTAAGTCCCAAAACGATTAAGGTATATGTATCTTACCACGTTTTTAATCGCAGAACAGGTGTTCTTTTATTTATGGCTAGAATCGTCTAAATTGCTAACAGCTGAAGGGATAGTGTAAATCCAGCTAGGGACCCTGCAGGGAGCAAATGTACTGTTAGTCCCCATAGTCCCTAATGATGATCTACCTTCAGTTGTTGGCAATCTATAGCTGTTTTATATTGTGATGTCTTCTATGGTTGAAAAGATTTAGATTGTCATACTAGTTTTATATCTATAACTGTGAACGTCTAGTTATTGTACTGTCCTTTGCTGACAGGGTTTTAATATTTTACTTTATTTGTTAAGAATCTATAACTTGTTTTAGTCACGATATGACTGAAATACTGCCGATGTGACTTAAAATCTTAACTCACTCACTCACTCACTTGTAAATCAACTATAAATTATAGGAACACTTAATTGTATGGTGACTCAATATTCAACTCTGATTCTGTATCCATAACAAATGATATATACCAGAGTTGTTGGTTCAAATCTCACTGTCCCCGATTCCGCTAATTCACATCATTGATGTGTTAAATGATGCCAGTCATAGTACCAGTGTACATATGCTGTCGATAACACAAAAGTGATGGTAATATATCCACCTCTACCAAAGATGTGTTAGGACAGAAAGAAGCAGCAGAAAATACAATCAGACCGCGACAAAAGCACTCACAGTTCATAAAAGTTAATATTGCTACCTTGCTTGAAAACATACGCAATAAACCTATTCATAACATTTAAAATACAAAACAGGAACAACGGTCATAAATAAAGCCATCTTCAGTTGGCATTTGGATATTCAATACTAAAGACAACGATCTAGATTGTGTAGAAACAACCCTGAATGGATATATCATATCTTTTATCAAGTTTAGAAGTTCGATTGTAAACTATGTGAAAACGTCTGAATATTTAATGTTGCTGGAAGGAAGAGATAAGACTTTTGGATGTCAAACCGTGTCATGTTTTAAACCATAGCTTAAACAGTAGCCTATTTTCATCCGCAGGCCAAGCATCACTTCTGACACAGGTGAGTTCAAAGTCCTCAAAAACGCCCTCCGTCATTCAAATTCCACCATTTGTCACCTCTCGAATTCATTCCCCATGTTGTGTTTGTTACATCAATCATGTCGCTGGCGAAAATATATGTCAACGTCCATATTGTCGCCAACGTCATGTATGCAGTGGTTCGTTCTTCCACGTATATGATAGATTTGTAGATGACCCAAATATTGTTAGCGCGAACATGATAAGAAAGATTATTTTCGTTATCCCTTCATTTACCCTCAGCTTTCGTATATCAGGTGCTATTGTTCCTTCTATTAGAATGGATACAGTATTAAAACTGAGGAAATACAAATTTTAATGATTTTAATCTTCTTAAACAATCTGAAACCAATAAAGTTTGACCTTATGAATAGAGTAGTGTGGTTATATACCTCTGATACTCTAGCTTACAACTGGTGATAGACAGCTGTTTGAACATTTTGTTATTGTGTATGATGTGTTTTATATTATATTATTAATGTTAATATTGTTTGCCGCAACTGTTGTGTTAGTGAGTAGGAGACCGAGACAGATAGACAGACTGACCGACATGCATTTCGAGAAAAAACAAACTGAAGTTAGAACGTTTGCAAACTGCAACTTTGTTGTACCTCAACGAGGCTGAACATGTATTTCCTTCATATTGCTTGATGCTTTGCCGTGGCTCTAAGTAGAAAACCGATTCTAACGCCCTTTAACCGCACGTTGATCAAGTTGAATATTCGTAGGAGATATGCTTGGTTGTGTTAGATATATCTATTCCATTTCAATGTCATATATGTTCTCGTCACGATATGGCTGAAATATTGCGGAGGGGCGTTAAATAATAACTCACTCACTCACTCACTCACTCCCTGTGTTAGATATACAATGCTCCGGAAATGACGCTACCTGTCAATTTTCAACGTTCATTGTTCCTGATTAAACTGTTCAAAAAACGACTTTGGAAAAAACAATGTATAGCAAGAGTGGTGATGACATGTATGTATGATTGGTTGGTTGGTTTGTTGTTCAACGTCAAACAAGCAATATTCCTGCTATACCGCGGCGGTCTGTAAACAATTTAGTCTCGACCAGACAATCCAGTGATCAACAGAATGAGCATCGATCTACCCAGTTGGAATACGGTGACACCTGCCAACCAAGTCAGCGAGCCTGACCACCCGATCCCGTTAGTCGCCTCTTACAACAAGCATGGGTTGCTGAAGATCAATTCTAACCCGGATCTTCACAGGCCATATATGTATGGAGTTTCGTGAAGCTAGGTTGTGTGGCGTTTTAGATACATTCTCCGGGAAATATATCATTACAGACGGCCGGCCGAATGGACAGACTGACAGGTTGAAATACTGACGACAATATATTCCCCGTTGTGTTATTCGAAGGAATAAAAGTCAACTTGCCCAGGTTTTGTATAACTGTAACAGTGATCATCATGATCAACTTCAATATCATCATCAACAGCATCGTCGTCTCCCGGTTTAGGGGTCTGACGAATACCGGTAATATGTACAGTTAACCTCGGCGACAATATGTGCCGTAAACGTTGGCATACATTGTTCCTGGCGATATGTGTGATATACGATATTGTTCCTGTCAATATAAGCCGTACGAGCGTCTAGTATCTATATTTGTAATGACTGCCCTACCTTTTTCAGACATCTGCGTATACCTTTCGATGACATGGCGTATTGGTGTGATATTGTAGTGTTGTGCCTTCATGTAGCTGCTTCCGTCGCAAGGGCGGACCTGCAGCAGTATGCGAGACAACCATTTGGTCCAGCAATGTGTGACTTGCTCTGTGGGCAGACTGTTGGATGTTCAGCCTTCTCTTTCTCAGCATCCCATCTGACCTGCCAGATAAAGAGTACGACTATACCTCATCACGATACACAACTTCATGAAGTAACTTCAACAAAGGTTAGTTCTAAAACATTCAAGCCACTCCCGTCCTTTAATCAGCCCTTAATAACACTTCACCCTCCTACTAAATTGCCCTCCTTCTCCTCTCCCTTTCTCATTTCCTCGCCCCTTCCCTTTCCTTCCTTCTCCCAACTCGTCTTCCTTTTTTTCTCACGCCCTCGTCCCCTTCTCTCTCATTTGCCCTTCCTCTCCAATCTCCTCCCCTTCTAGACTTCTTCGTCATCGCCCTAATTTCTCCATCGCACGTGGTCCATTCCCTCATTCTCTTCGGGGCGGTGGGGTTACCTTGTGGTTAAAACGTCCGCACGTCACTCGTGGGGTTCGATGCCCCACCGTGATATTGCTGGAATGTTGCTGAGAGCGGCGTTAAACCATACTCACTCACTCACTCTCTTCGCCTTAGATCAGGGTCGTTCTGTGAAAGGAACGATTTTGTTTATTAATTAACAATGTGCAACCGGATACAACTGGCTCGTATATTCTGGTTCTCACTTCAACTTTGATGTGGCGATAACACCATGTTTTGGTATGTGATACAATACACCCCTCAGATGTACAACAGCAAATCCAGAAACACAAAAGCACAGTCATGATTCTTGAATGTTTATTTGAAAATCTCATTGAAGTCAAATTTTCGTACTTGTTTCCTCATCACAAAAACTGAGGACATCCTGTTACAGGTCATGTCAGAATGAACAGTAACCAACTAATAAATGACTAACCGGAAGTGGGAATTAGCCAATCAGAAGACAGCTTTCCCAAGGGCCTCAGGCCCCGACCGGGCCAGGGTAGAACCTGGTGCTTAACACATACACAATAACACAAACCTTCGTTTTAAATATGAACCCAGTTTTGTCGTGAGGGCATGGTATGAGTAATGAAATTGTGAATCTCAAGCCAAAGGCGTGAGACTTGGCAGGTATGGATTGGTGGGATGAAAATCACTCAGATATGACCAGTAATGAGACCTCAGATCTTGTGTAGCGGAAGTGAGAACTAAGATCTGATTTTGAAGAAATGGAACCTGTGAAAATGTTTGCCAGGCAAAGAGGAACTGGACAGCTACTGGAAAGGAATGTCCGCCATTCTCACGTCTCATCCTAAGTCGGACTAAAAATGTTCAATGTGTTTTGGGTAAGTACATACTAGATACTAGCGACAATTATAATGATGATTACACTTATATACATTTTTTTGTTAGTTGATATTTCCAGGAATATACTTCCCACAAAAACAAAAACGGTGCACGTATTGCTTCAATTCCTTCTCAGTTTCTAAATATAAAACCTACAATTAAATATTTCCATACAAGTGCAATAGGTTGAAACTGAGAGCATAAGAAGACGGCAGAACAGTATGTTTAATGTCAATGACATAGGCGTTACGAGTCCAAATGCGGTGCAGAGGTCCAGCAGCAATGTCACAAACTCAACAATGTCAGAAACGGACATGTCAACTATGAGCAGCCAGGACAGTAGTGTATAGCCGAGTCTATCAAATGGGAATGGAAACTTTGTGGAAAACTCTGTCCTGCAAAATCAGGAACGTTGTCTCGCGGATTTTGCTTTTCAGATATCCTGTAAATTTGCAGGCAAACGCAGTACCTGAACATTGTGCCACATTTCGGCCATACTACCCGTGGAATGACGATAAAGAGATGGAGCTCCCAAGTTGTCTGTGTTCTGTTGACAGTCCACTACAGAATTCCTCCACAACCGTGGTTGACAGACTGGATTTCGGCAAACCTTTGACAGTAATCTCGATGACGTTGCGTCAGGACAGGTCTAAGGGCGGGACGACGTTGTTGTATCCCGCAATGACGTAAGCGGTTCCTGATTGTGTTGGGGTGGAAACGCCGAATTCATGGAATGGTCTGCGCAGTGGTCACTGCAGTCTGGAACCTGTGCCGGTCACGGGTCATCAGTATCCATTTGTCGTTTTCACACATGGACGTCCGGCACTTGAGCCATCGGCAACTTCATTATTGTTTTCATAACGGCTCAAGTTCTCTACAGTTCTCAAATGGTGTGTCTGTGCTAATGGAAATGTGCAGCCTCCTAACGTTGAGACATTTCCTCACGGATCACCCAAATAGCCTCAGGACAGTGACACATTTCCACACGGATCACCCTAATAGACTCGTGACGGTGAGACATTTCCTTATGGATCACCCAAATAGCCTCATGATGGTGAGACGTTTCCACACGGATCATCGAAATAGCCTCCTGCACACGGATCACCCAAATCACCTCCTGACGTTGTGTAGTGAGCTGTGGCACGATGAGCAGTTCATAAGCCATTTAACTGTTTAACGATCAAATATCCAACAGTTGAGCTCCCCAAAGCAACAGCAGTTTTCGAAAGCACTGACTTTACGAAAAGCAGCATATGTGCTCAATTCAGTTTACTAATAACAGTGTTTACATCTATATTTGTGTACATATTTAGAACCAGTATAAGTTTCCTATGAGCAGTTTCTTTTTGTGGTTGGTATATATTAGTTAGAGTGTTTTAGCAATGTACATTAATAAATATAATATCAATAATACATTATGGTACATTGTCGTTTTTCAAATATATATGTTACAAAATATATGGGCCTACTTGTACTTGTTTCAGGAACAGACAGTCAGGAATATGTACAACTGTTTAAGGAGGGTGGGAAAAGAGTACTCTTTCTCCCCATCACCCATGACAAATCAGACCTTAAAGTGCTGCTGCCTCACAACCGATCTGTCAGTAGATACAGGAATATACAGCTGCAGTCTGTCCTGGCCATAGCCTATGTGGAAACGAAAAGGCGGCTTATGGTGTCCACTCACACACAGATCTTCTCCTTCACCGAGAAAAACATAAATCCAACTCGTTTTTGGACTCGTCCCGCATTCGCCATTGTGGTTGATCAACTTAGGGTACTTCTCTTTATGTTGTCTAAATTGTCACAAATACAAAAGGGGTATGTAGTGTACCGTATGCACAACAATAAGACGAAAAATGGGATTATTTTCATGAGATCCACTCGCCCTCGAGCAGTTACCATTAGTCCTAGATTTAAAAGGGTTTATGTAAGTTTTGATGATGAGTTGACTTCTTTCAGCTATAGAGGACTCGATGTGAGACCTATCGCTAAAGGTGCTATCATTGATAGCCTAACAGGAGATCCGCTTGGAAAGACACTGTATTACGTCTCTGAGCAGCACCTATATGAACATTCTTTAATGAAGAAGAACGCAACCAAACTGAAATATGTCGGAGAGGAATTCCACCAGCTCCATCTCTATGGAAGAAATGTATTGCTTCTTACCATCAAAGGAAGAGATACAATCTTTGCTTTGGACCTTCTGAACCTTGATACCAAACTTCAGACGGTGGCGGTAGCTGAGGGCAAAGCTAATGGCACAGCTATGTGTCTTATTCCATGAAACATACAATTCGGAAGCAGAAAATTGATTATACTCCTTAGACCAACATTAAGCAACCAAATATTTTGGTGGACACGTTATTTAGCTTTTTCGTAATAGATGCGATTAGGATTATAATGTGAATTGACATTTAGCCGTATGTGTGGTTGACATTGGTTGAAATTGCAATTCTCCTGTTGTGGGTAAGCATTGATGTAAGCTGTCAGAATTACATACCGTCCTCAGCAGTGGTGCTTAATCTTGGTGTTCCTGAACGATGTCGATCCTTGTCATCACCATGGTACTGGAACCCACAGGGGTTCGAATCACTGTTTGGACAATAATTTTTTTAAATAAAAATCGAGATTTTTGCAACAGTATATTATTTGTATATGTTATGAGTAACTTATATTTCAAATTTGAACGAAATCGGTGAAGAAATGGATTTTTTAGAAAATTCTCCCGCTACACTCATTACAGCAAATACACTGTAATGAGTGTAGCGGGAGAATTTTCTAAAAAATCCATTTCTTCACAGATTTCGTTCAAACAGTGATTCGAACCCCTGTGCTAGAACCTGTGTCACAGCCGACAAAAGACTCGACAGCCCCCTCTCTTGGCTTTATGATTGTGTTATGGTTGTTAAACAAACGCAATGTCTGGATTCATCAGTGTCATCCTTCATACTCTTGTGTGCCACATGGCCACAGACATGGAGAGCATGTGCATAGTTACATTTGGGTGAAACGTTCCTTCTTATCCGGGTATCACTTTGGCATTTGCCAGATTTTGATCGAAAACTGTTCTTGAGTCCAATCTCCCAATCGAAACAAACAATGCTTTCCAGTTACAAATCATATTGGAATCTTGGGCATTGGACTGTTCATGTTCGAATTGTTTAAATCAGCCTTAAATTGTGTTTTTATCCTAAGAGTCATAGCTCCACGAATACGATAGTGTAGTTTAGATCGGTGTTCCCATTCTTGTTTGAACCCCACATGAGCACAATGTGTGAAGCCCATTTCTGGTGTGTACACACACACAAACACACACACACACACACACACACACACACACACACACACACACACACACACACCTGATATTGCTGGAATATTGCTAAAGGTACACTTGTACTTTCATGTGTTCCCTTATTCGTTTCCATGAGTATATATTGTGTGCAGTAAAAATCACTATATGAAAATAGGCAAGGGGAATATGAGAGGTGAGGTAAGGTGAAATTGGATTTTACGTCGTACTTGAGAAAATGTCGCTCATATGACGACGTGGGAATATGAGAAATAAATAACAGTGTGACCAGCCAATGTAATTGATTCGTATGTACAAGTTAGAAAGGGACAGGCAGAATAATCAGACAACTAACAGCACCAACTTTATAATACTGGTTATGAAGGAATGTAGAGAGGTCATTCAGATCACTTACGCTTTTAGTTCGCTGAAATTCAAACAGATTTGGAAACTTGATATATACTGAGTCAAAAAATAAACTTCACAAAATGTAATTTGAAAAATAATGAATAATTTTTCTCTGATGATACATCTATGTATCCAAAATGGGATCCCTATCTTTCGACTCTAGAAAAACGTTAGCAAAACCCACTCAAACCCATCCATTCGTCGTGCAAATAACGTTAGTGCCAAGTCAGGTTTTGCACGTGCAGTCGATCACGTGATCTTCGCATCGAAGTTTTCTTCATATGCACGTGTTTGCATTGGCCTCAAGAATTGAAAAAGCACTTTTAAACCACAGTTCTAACGGTACTTGAAATGCCACGATTGTCAAATGTGCAACGTGAACGTGCCGTTGGCACGTTGCAAGCGGGAAGATCAGTTATTGACGTCGCAAGAGCAATGGGATGCAGCCGTCGTACTGTGTATGATTTGCGAGGTCGTCTACAACAAACTGGCACCACTTCTGATCGCCCAAGGTCGGGTCGTCCACGTGTGACGTCACGAGCAGAAGACCGTCAAATCGTCCTACGTCACCTACGTGACAGATTTCTGCCGGCTACACGAAGCAGGGCTGAGATGTTTAGAGGTCGACTGTCCTCACAGACCATTCGAAATCGGTTGCGGGCTGCCAATCTCAATTCTCGACGTCTATATCGTGGGCCAATAATGACGCCGTTTCATCAACGTCAACGTCTGCTGTGGGCCCAACGTCACCTCCGATGGACCCAGAGAGACTGGAATCGAGTCGTCTTTAGCGATGAATCCAGGTTTACCCTCAGATTCGCGGACGGCAGGCATAGAGTCTGGAGACGACGTCGTGAACGGTATGCCCAATGTTGTGTACAGGAAGTCGACAGATTCGGGGGCGGAAGTGTGGGGTGCTTTCTGTGGGAACAACCGCTCCCGACTTCTGGTCATCCGTGGAAACCTCACAGCTGCTGCTTACCGCGATCAGGTGCTCACCCCTGAACTCGTTCCTTTCATTGCGGCTCATGGCCCAGGTCTACAGTTCCAGCATGATAATGCTCGGCCGCATACCGCGATGTTGACACGAAATTTCCTTCACAACGCTGGAATCAACGTCATGGACTGGCCATCGAGGTCCCCTGACCTTAATCCAATAGAGCACGTTTGGGATGCACTTGGGAGAAGGCTTCGTGGTCATAGGAACCAACCTCAGAATTTGCAGGAACTTGGCGCTGCCTTGCAAGAGCAATGGCGCAGAATCCCCAACCACGTGTTCACAAGCATCAGGCAGTCGATGAGGAGACGGTGTTTGGCAGTGGTGAATGCGCGGGGCGGCCATACACGATATTGAACTGAGTAATTTCGCATTTTTATTCTTGTGACTTGACATTCTGTATACCCATGTTTTGGAACGGCGGTGTAGCCTAATGGAACTGATTATGGCACTGTCAGTGTATCGAGTACATCACACAGATCTCAGCAATGAAATAATAACAATTTAATCATCTTACCATCTCTTGTTTTTATAGTGCCCTGAAGAAAGAATGTGAAGTTTCTTTTTTGACTCAGTATATTACAGTAAACAATGTTAATAGCGAACTAACAAATAAAAAGAACTTGTGCTTTGTCTACTTGCTGTATATTTTTGTCGGAATGCCGAACGAACTACAGTTATTGTCCGTTTGTAGTGCGTTATAACCATAGTTTACTTATTTTGAGATTATAAACTATTGGAGAAAAACAAAACGTCTGAATAAATAATAGAACTTATCTCCCACAGAAACTGAATTACAAAGAGGACACTGGTGGCCGTCCCTGGGACCGGTTTCAGTCGGCAATCTATATGATTAGTTATTCTTGATGTCAATAAAGGAACACATATTGATTTTGAGAGTTTTCGGATGAGGGTTTGTTCTTCAGGTACTTATAATACGATGCATGGGATGGTTTGTTTAAACATGCATATTGATATAGTAACAACAACTTTACACGCTAGTGTTTAGAGTGCCTTTGAACAAGAATACAAACATAATTAGAAGCCAAGAGTTGCATGAACGTCCGAATTCACTATATTTCTGAAAGATTATCAACTGCTCGAGCACATATAAACAGAGCAAGCAATGAAATTCTATCAATTTTCTAGAAGCAAATGAAAATTAATTCATATCAACTCGAAAATACAAATTGTATCAATACTAAGACTGATGTTGTATCGTCCGAAATATATCCGTTTTCGCTTTCAAAGCTACCCTTTCGACAGTAAACTGACCACTCGCATCCATTGCATCCTAATTTTTAATTCGTGGATAAAAATCAAATACTATTCGTAGTTCCGTAATTTCCAAAAAAGTGATAAATCCCTTTAAATTGATTAGAAACTAAAACAATCTGCATCGTTACATCATGAATTCCAGAAATAGATTGAGTCACGACAAGGGCGGCACACTTTTGCATCGTGATCTGGCAATACTATATTTTCTTGGTACTGCCAATCAATTTGCACTGCCACACTATTTTTACTCCCATTGTAGTTTTAAAAAGTAAGCCAGCTAGGAAGGGCATCCCCTTGAATCTTTGCCCTCGATTGTGTTATTCTCACTGAAACCTTAAATAAAAGCTTCTCATTACAGATTTCTCCGTGTATTTAATGTGTATGGACAGTACTATAGTTTAGTCTACATCAACAAATACATGTGTTATTTTGAAAACAATGAAGTTCATTTCATGAACGCAAAACATCAACAACCCTTACGTTTCTGGGCCCCGTTCCGCAAAGCGATCGTAGCGCTACGACAGTCGTAAGTCTATGTTAAAGTATGGAAGTTACGATCACCTTAGCGCTACGATCGCTTTGAGGAACGGGGCCCTGGCAAATTTAATGTAATAGAACAATTACTACTCTGTATTGTCATCCATGTTGACAACTCTGTGCAGGGTGAACCCGCTTATAAATGAGGGCCCCAGATAACCGCGGAAACAGGATAGCCAGGCACAGGGCGATATTTACGTGAAACCATGTATAGACCCGGGTTAGAATTGATCTTCAGTGACCCGTGCTTGTCGTAAGGGGAGACTAACGGGATCGGGTGGTCAGGCTCGCTGACTTGGTTGACACATGTCATCGTATCTGCTACATAAGCTGGAAAGGGTTGTTTATTGTAGCCAATGCCAAAGCTGAGAAAAACGATTCTTTTGATTTTGGTCCTGAAGGAAGCATAGCAGAGGACTGCTTCTTTGCCCTGACGGCGTGGAAGGAAGGATACAAATTTGGATACGTTGAGGGTGAAATGCGGGAAAAGACCACCTTTTCAATCATGGACTTATTCGACAACGGAAGCGTTGGGTTCAGGGCATATCCCTCACGTTCCTTAGCAACCAGATTCCTGTAAGATACAAACTCAGTATCGGTGACATGGTGGTAGCATGGGGTTTCATGCCAGTGACATCACTGAATATTCTTCTAATTCCGATGTATTCAATGCCAGTACACCCAGTGGTCAATACCCAAAATGCATTTTCAAGTGGCGTTGCCATATTTCTGTTCATTTATGGGGCTATTAAGTCATTCACCATCAGAAAGC